TTTTTCATGATTCAAACATAGGGAGAAACGCCTTAAGTGGAAACAGAAGGGCAAAGAAAAGGAAGAAAAGAAAAGAAAAGAAAGCGACAGAGTAAGACAATAGTATTTGTTGATAGAAGTTTGTAGAATAAGTATGGATATAAATCAATTTACCTGGTATTATTGCCAGTATTATATATGTGCAAAATCAATGTAGAATCATAATTTAAGATAGATCAATAGAAAAGCATATAAGAAGGTAGAAAATATAAAAAAGAGGTGAATTATAAATTTAAAATTTAGCAAGATTGCAAAGTTAGATCTTAATGTGCCTACAAAAAACAGTAGTTTCAGATCTTTGGTTTAATAATTGACTATTATTCAAAAGCTCAATAATACATATTTTTCCTGTAGACATAAGAAAACAAGTTTCGTTATATATATATATATATATATATATATATATATATATATATATATATATATATATATATGGGGGAGAGATAGATAGAATAAGGAACAAATAGGAAACGTTTATAAATTTACATGTTTCGTTTTTATTTAAACTTGTTGCAAATGACTTATGGAAGAGAATTTTCCAGCAGATTGAGTTCTGAATTGTTTGTTTTTAATTCGTGTGGTAAACATTCCTTCTCTCCCCCTGCCTTACGTCAAAAAATCGAATGTTCCTGTTTATAAATAGTTTTATTGTACTAACTATTCTATTGTGCAGAATAAAGCTTAATTTGATGGCGTTACTAGTTATTTCTATTGAACTGCTGAAACCTGTAAGTTGAATCGTTTTTGTTTTGTTTTTTTGTTTTTTTTTGCATTTGTGACCGTGTTCTTTGTCCTGTATTGATTTTTGTTGTATCGTTTTATTTGGAACTTTTTCGTGTTTGTATACTGTGGTGAGGTGATGACCAAAATGGCCGAGTTTCCCCAGCCAATTGTTACTGAAATGGAGACACCATCTTCAAGTCCATCTGCCTGAAATGCAAATAGGCAAAAAGAAAAATAAGATGCAGTCTACTATAATTGAATGAAACACGAATACCGCGATTATATTAAGGGTAATGAGTTACTCACTATCCCTGAAACATTGAATACGGTAACATCTCACTTCTGACACCGGATGTCAAAACCCGAAAACTGGGGTCGTTGAAGAGGCATTACAATACCTCAAGATAGTTCCGAAGATTTTGGTGAAACGTTCGAATGCGATGTGGGATTTACTGCTAGCTTCAGAAGAGGAAGCTAAAAAAACTAGGAAGCTAAAAAACCTTATGACGAAATCGATATGGTTTTAAACCGAGTATATGGGTACCCGTCGGACAAGAGTACCTTGTAAGGTACACCCATGGATATAAACGAGGACCATGTAGGAGCAATCATTGCCATGTATGGGAAGGTGGAGGAAGTCGCCCGAATGACAAGTAAAGTGTCATCCGGAGATTTTGCGGTACAAGTGATCCTGGACAGGATGAAGTTTCAGGTAATTCTTGATATACTTTTATGCAGAAATAGGAAGATTTTTGTTGTGGTTGAGGGGAGAAGGCCGTGCTGTTGGTTGTGTGGCACCGCCGGTCACGTGGCCTAAATGTGTCCCGGCTGAAAACCAGTGACTCAGCCAGCTACATCCAAGAAGATTGTGACGAAAGGCAAAGCCGCCAAAGACCCTGACGGTTCAGGTGAATGGAGGGAGGCGGTTACAATGAGGTTTAAAGTTGTTGCCCCTTCTCCCTCACCCCAGAAGGGAAAAAGGAGCAAACAGAGAAACACTTGGAGGAGAGTTAATACCAAAAACAGCAGCAGAACAAAGAACAGACAAAACAGCAGGAGCTGTCCAAAAAACAACAAAGTTCATAGACCAGCCAAAGCAGCAGCAGCAACAAAAAACAGTTGTCGCAGCTGGATAGCGACATGAAGGCGTAAGACATGTCACCACCAGAGGCCTCTCCTTGAAAAGAGTGAGGGATGAGGATGAGGAGGAGGAAGAGAAGAAAGAGAAAAATGCTGGTCGAAGTAGAGCGGAAAAATTTGATGAAAAGTACAAAGAAAAATCTGCCTCTACTTCGCCAGCAAAAACCCACGATACTGATGCCACAGGTAAGACAAAGAGCCTTTCCACTTCCCCGTCTAGGGCTCCGACTTCTCCTTCCTTCCTTCCCCAACCCGTCCCTCAACCAATCCAAAAAAAAAGAGAAAAAAATCATTCCCCGTGATGGTGGGGGGGAGAAGATTTGCATCGTTGACAGGCAGGCCCTTGAAAGTGACCTGTCTACTTCAAAAACCCCTTTTTAAGTGTACCTCTGTCTAGGAACTTCCCACATGCCCTTGGTGGTATTACTTTTACCTATAAATATAGCATACATTAAAGTCATAATTTATATTATATATATATGTATATAATGTTTAAAGAAAATAAATTATACACACACACACACACACACACACACACACACACACATATATATATATATATATATATATATATATATATATATATATATATATATATATATATATACGAGGACTGACTACTCGCGTTGAACGAGGACAACCACCAGTATAGGCTGCAGTTGATGTGGTGTGTCCCCACAACCTCCGAAAACCTAATGGTATCCGTACGATTGTTCATTGTCATTCACACCGAGCATATGATAATTAGAGACGCATATGATTCGGGTAGACTGATGGTAAATCCCTGGTGGGGTCGTTAATGTTCAAACCATATTACGATGTATTGACCTATGTCATTACTTTACATTAACAGGAAGCGGTCCCCCATCTAAATAATAACCAGGTTTGACACTGCTAATCTTTTGTGATCTAATTGCTTAAATCTCTTTAAAAGCATTTAACACAAATATATATATATATATATATATATATATATATATATATATATATATATATATATATATATATATATATATATTAAATAAGAGAAAGGACAAATTAAGAATCTACCATTCTTAGCTGGCATATTTTTATGATTTTGTGTAGGTAGAGGTAATTTAATTTTTACTTTTGTTAGATGTTTTTAGTAGATTTAAGCATTTCTCTATAGGGACGTTTGCGTATAGAGATTTTATATCTAAACTAACCACATAATATGCCAGCTAATCACCAAGCAATGTTTCTTTACATTTGATGACCAACTTCACAGACAAAAATTTGGTTTACCAATTGGATCTCGTCTCAGCGTCGTTCTTGCTTGTCTATTTTTAGAGTTTTTAGAAAGTGCCCCTTTCAAAAACATTCTCCACTCCCAAACTCTTCCTATTTCAGATACATAGACGACTCACTATACATATATCCACAAATTACTAATTTAACAGATCTTAAAAACTTTGAACCTACAATAGACTTCACGTTGAAACTGAAACTAACTACACTCTTCCCTTCCTAGATATCATGTTACACAGAAACAATAACGAACTCAATTTAATGTTTACAGAAAGGCTACAAACAAAAATGACCTGATCAGTTTCTACTCAAACCACTCTTCTAAAATTAAATCGGGAATTATTATAGGTTTTTATTTGAGAGCATTAAGAATCTGCAGCCCCCAATATTTACCTAAAGAAGAAACATACATAGAAAACATATTCAAAAACCTACAATACCCATATCTTTTCATCTACAACGCAACAAGAAAGACATACAATATATACAACCGAAACAAAAATAATAACATAATCCGTAATAATAAATTACATGAAAACAGATGCATAATGCTATCGACCAACAACGCCATGTCCTCTATCCAGAACAACCTATCCCATCTAAATAATCTTAAACTGATCACAAACATTTCCAAAACCATATAATATAATCAGTCCCTCAAACACTAATAGCAATAATATTTCTGAATCAGGCATTTATAAAATAAATTGCCAAAACTGTTCCTCCCAATATATTCGAGAAACAAGCAGAAATTAAAAAAAAAAAAAACAATCTACGAATCTCATAAAAAAAACTTAACTGATGCACTAGTCATACATAGAAATAAATTCAACCACAATTTTCATTTTAAAAATGCTATCTCATAAAAAAGAAAATAACGCACTCAGAAGGAAAACCCTCGAGAGTTCCACCATTGAATATTATCCAAATATTAATCTACGCCCAGGTTTTTTTCCCAATATCACCTTTCCTAGCAGAATTACGACTCTCCCAAGCCAAAGTACACAACTATATCAAGAAATCAAACGAGAATGGTTTGTTGATTTTGTTTGTTGTTAATAGTTACTTTGTTTTCAATAAATTCATTTCGTTTTAGCCTTTGAAAAGTGCACATTAGACGAAACGCGTTGGCTAAAATTACAGTTTTTCTAGGCTAACTCTGATAATTTTTTCATAGATCGATAGATAGACAGATGCGTGTGTTTACCGGAAATGTTTAATGCAGTGCTAACCGAATACAGTACGTGGCTTTTGACTTTCAATATTATTCTTAAAAAATGATGTGCATATAAATAAAAACGGATTCTTTTGGAAGGAAGTGTTTGGATAGATAGTATCAAATTACTCGCACGTTTGCTTGTAGCATCAGCTATGTCACAGAAAGAATGGCGACAGTTGACATCAACGTCAATAAAGCAAATAAAACAGGTCACCTGAATTTAGCAGCGTCAAAGCGAGAATAAATATTCATTAAAAATGAAAAATGTGTCCTCAAATTGTTGAATTTTCTTTTTCTTTTTTTTTTTCAAAATTATTTGAGCACATTTCATCGACTTTTACCTTCCATGTTTCTGAATTGTAGCTCACATCATGCGTGTAAATTCCATTATATATATTGGCGATACACACATGTATGTATGTATGCATGTATGCATGTATATATATATATATATATATATATATATATATATATATATATATATATATATATGTGTGTGTGTGTGTGTGTGTGTGTGTGTGTGCACATAGACATACACACACACATATATATATATATATATATATATATATTTTCATTTAATGGTTACATATTAAATTTTTCATGGAAGCTTACATTTAATTTTTTTCTGTTTTTCTCTGTCTATCTATCTATCTATCTATCTAGCCTAAGTTCTTTTTCTATCTATCTATCTATCTATCTATCTATCTATCTATCTATGTGCCTGCGTGTGCATATATGTTATTTTCGTAGTATTAAATCAAGCAAAAGTTTCATGTTGAATAAATAAAATGACATTCGAAATAACGTTTTTTTTCACTTTTTACACACACACACACACACACACACACACACACAAAACAGTTGACATTTAGTTTCTAGTTGAGTTCAGGGGCATTTCGACATGGTGCAATGGTTAGCAAGCTTGTCTCGTTAGATCAATTACGAATGAATAATGAGTTCGATCCTCACTAGGTGCCTCATGCTTTCGGCTTTGTGTCATATCTAAGCTACTATTAGAAAATCATCATCACGTATTTTAGTACTGGCACAAGTATAGGGCAACCTGTGAGAATCGAACTCGCTATTCTGGTGAAATAATTTATGAGATTCGTTCGTTAATTAATCTCGGGTCTTGAATAATAAGGAAAAAAAACTAGAATTCACATACATGCAAATACTCTGAGGCGATTATGAATAAAAAAAGGCATGATCGCCAAAGCCTGTCACATCCGCCTCGACCAACACGCACTGGGGCAAAGCACGGCAGGGTAATAATAGCCCATGCCTCTCAATCCGGGGAAGACCTACATTCAACAGAAAGGACCTTCACAGGCCAAGAAGAAAACAATTTTGCTGTCTAATTTTTTACCGCAAATAAATAACCTTACAAAGCATGGTGATCATTTATTTAAAATATTTTTCAAGGAAGTTTACTCTTAGATAAATGACCGGGGTTGGGTGGGGGTCAAAACTTAATAAACACTGAGTATGATCATTACAGCCTCTCCAACTCCCCGAGAGTCGCCTCTCAAACTTTGTCGTATTATATTATTGGGGGGGGGCTATATATTTATCTCCCTTTTCTTTCGCCTGTGCTCTCCTCTTCCTCCTCTTCTTTTCCACTCTTTCTCTCTCTATTTTAATTCTCTCACTCCTTCCTGTTTTCATTTATCATTCACACCGTTCCTAATTTTCTTCTGTCATTCCTCCTTCCACTCTCTTGTATTTAGACATTTCTAGGCACTCACTCTTCCGCTTGTCTATCGTTCTCTTCCCGTCACTTCTCTAGTTTCTACAACTTCCTCTCTTTATCACTCTTACAACATTACGCTATACATGTGTTACTGCATCGAAGTAGCGAGAAAAAAAAAAAAAAAAAACAGACGACCAATTAGCTTTGTATACGAATCATTACTCATAACTGAAATTCAGCCACCGCGTCTCTTGCTATTAGATATCCAGTATCAGTGACTGTATTTCATACTGCAGGATAACCAACACCAGTGAACCGTCCCAATAAGTCACGTTCACGGTATATTGCCAATTTGCTTTTCAATCCAATTCGGACTTTGACGAATAATCTTGTAAGTACTAAAAATCTATTTGCATTCTATTCTAATGTTTTGTTTTCCTAATGAATGCAGATAAAAGTAAAAACGTATTCACTAGAAAAATTCCCCAGTGCTTCATAATTTGAAATCGTTTTTTAACTTGTTGTTTTTATTCCCCTCCCCCCACAGACAATATTTGTATATATGGGGACTATTTAGGATCTTCATGGAGACAATGAGGTATTTTGGTGGATGTAGTAAGAAAGGTAAGTATGAATGTGTTGTTTTGGTGATAGGAATATTGTTTTGTTTAAGTGGGTCAGTGGTTGTGGCTATCTAAGTTATAAAATTAAGACAGATGATGACCGTCCTTTCTCAATCCCCTTTTTAGGCCTTGTGCCACATTTTCTGTTATTTTTACGGAAATAAATATCCCCAGTGCTTCATTTTCTCTACTAATTATTAACTTTTTTTTTTAGTTCACGTGTATGACTTTCATTTGAATGTAAAAGTTGGAATGTTGCTTTCCCGATTAACATACCGGTTTCGGATTTAAGCTTCTTCACTAACTATTCTTCTTTCTATTAAAAGCGAGTAATTACGTATAGTGTTCACCTACAAATAAACCACATGGCAATAAGTTTGCAAACATCTATTAAGAGATAGCTGTCAGATGAGAAGTCATTCTTAAAAAAACCCTTCAAATCGATAATAAAAACATTAGATTGACTGCTTTATTCCATTCACTACTTCATAACCAACATATATCAGGTAGGCAACATGGATTTATTGTATATGACTATATATTTACATGTATTGTTATATAGCTCGTCTCGTTGGTGTCGAATGTTAGAGTCACTAAAAAGAAGTTAGCTCTTGCGGTAGCGTCATGGTTTGGTAAGCAAATTCGCTTTGAAGACATTATTTGTTGTTGCATACATGTCGTCTTCTGCTTATGCTTTTTGTTTGTATATTATTAATAAAAAAGAAAGCTATTAAATCAGTGGGCAACAAATACGCTACAGGTGATCATAATAGAAACAATTTCTTTATCTTTCTCAAAGAGTAAGCATGAAAATTAGCAGTTTTCAAACAGACAGCGTTCAGCATCCATTGATCGTATAATTAACTTTACTATCGCTTAAAAATTTATAAAATCATTTCTTTAAAACAGTTTTTCAGGAACTTATAATTCTCTGGCACACAAACGGTTACCTTTCTTTCTAGTATTGACGAGAGTTTCTTTCCAAACCTTTTGTGTCTTTGGTAGTGTGAAAACCTAGATAAAGTTTATAGTACTAAGCATCACCTGCCCGGCATTGCATATATTCTCGCTTCACTGTCAGCGAGTTTATGTTACTGGACGAACTTTACAACCCACTTTAGCCCGTTAGTACCTTTTTTTTTTTTTCTTTTTTTTTTAAGTCATAAAAGATGAATCTGTAAATGTTTGGTGGTCCGGTGTTGATCGGTAATGGTTCAATTTTGGCATCATTTATTTTTGCTGTTCACTTGAAATTCAAAGCGAACACGAGGAGCGGGATATACAAAGATAATTTTTTAGGATAAAAAAAAAATAAAAACTAACTTTTTCTAGTTTTTCTATTGAGTGTATTTGTGACCATAAATTATGTATTTTTGTAATATTGTTGCTTATTTAAAATAAAAACAAGAAAAAAACAAAAATTAAATGAAAACTCCGCTCATAAAATCCTCTTTACCCTTTGGTACCATTTTCAAGTTTTTATATGGTATTTGTTTGATACCCCGAAAACCACGTATCAGATTGAATAAAGCCTTTTTAACTGAAATTGGGTAAACAAGACTGTTCTTGGGCCATCGACAGTTGTTTTAGCACAAAATCACAAGTCCGAGGATTTGAGCGTACGGGCCTTGTTCAGCTCATGACCATGCTATACTGTGCTCTCTCACCCAGAACTGTAACTAAAGAATAGCATAGTTGCAGTATAAACTACAGGTTGGCTATGTGGGCGTTGAAGAAACACAAGTGTGTCTGAATAGTCACCTGCAACAGACATTCTTCTTTCTTTTTATGTACCGTGTCCTTTCAGAAAGTAAGCGATCATGACTCTCCACTTCTCCAAATCCCTTGTAGCGTCCCTCTGCCATCTCCCACAGACCACGGTCTGTCACCACTTGCGTAAGCCCGTCAGGTATAGCATGGGTTGTTTTCCCTTGTCTCACTTTCCCTCTATTCGGCGTGTGAGTATCAGACACTCCAGGTCCTCCTTTCTCATTATGTGTCCCAGAAATTTCATCTGCCTCTTCCTGGTGTCAAGTATGAGCCTCCTCCTCGTTTGCATCCACTCCAAGACCTCATCGTTGCTCAAACGCTCGGTCCATTATATGTTTAGCATTCTTCTCTAGAACCACATCTCCACTGCCTCAAGTCTCGTCTTCATCTTTGAAGAAACCGTCCAACATTCACTGCTGTATAGGAGGACAGAGGTCACGTAGCAGCTCGGTACTCTTTTCTTTGTCACCAAAGAAATTCTCCTGTCTCGCAATACTCTGCCCAGTTTTGGAATGCACCTTGGCCATTCCAATCCGTCTTCGGATCTCAGCGTCGCACTTACAGTCCAATTCCCAGATATTTAAACTTCCGCACATGCTTAATTTTAGTGTCCCCCACCTGCAAATCGCATTTCGGGCTCATCCTTTTACTGATGACCATGCATTCTGTCTTCTTGTAGTTTATGGTTAGTCCTTTCTTCTCGCTCTCCCTCGCTACCTTCTGTAGTAGGTTTTGTAGTTTCTTTTCCGGGTCTGCTATCAGCACTGTGTCATCTGCGTATATTATGTTGTAAAAGATTGTGGGCGCCAATGCTAAATCCCGATAGGATTTCCAATCGCGTCGCTGTATATGTTGAATAAATGTGGCGAGAAGACGCATCTTTGCCTTACGCCCCTTTCTATTTTTGTATATTCGCTGAACTCATTCTCAATGCGCATGCATGCCGTTTGCTGCCAGTACAAGTTCTTGATTATTCTAACATCTTTCCTGAATATATCAAGGTTGCCAAGCAATTCCAACAGTTCATTGTGGCGGACTTTGTCGAACGCCTTTGCATAGTCTATAAAACATAGGTGGATGTCCTTCTGCATTTGTATTGCTCTTTCTGATAACATTCTAAGTATTAATATCGCCTTCCTTGTTCCGGTGTCTTTAACGAACCCGTACTGTTCTTCTCCTGACTTTGGCCCTATTCTGCTGCTGTGCTCTATTAATCAGAATACGGATGATGAGTTTTGTTACATGGCTCATTAGGCTGATTGTTCGTTGGATCTCACATTCGTTTGCTCCTTGTTTGTTACGTACTGCTATTAAAATAGATCGGCTGAGAATTTCCGGTATGTTTACACTGTTGTAGATTTCATTTATTATTTCTGTGATTTTTTCTATGCCAAACTCATCTAAGGCTGTCAGCGTTTCCATTACAATTCCGTCTGGCCCTGCCGCCTTGTTTCTACTTCGGTTTTTAAAACTTCAGTTCGGTCGGTAGTTCTGAGTATTGCTGGCTGTTCTCTTTCGTCGTTGAAGAGTTTGATTTTAAGAAGCCTATTGACGAGCATGTCTTCTGTCCTGATGGCTGCTTTATTTGTTTGTGCATATCTCCTTTGTTGATGGTACTCAATCTCTCTATTTCTGCACATTTTTTGTTTAGCCACTCTTCTTTAGCCTGCCTTGGTCCTTATTTCATTGTGTAATTTTCTGTATTCCGTGCCGTATCTTGGCAGAATTTTCTGTCTCATTTGCATCATGTCAATAATCTCCTGTCATCCATTCGTTTTTTCTTTTTCGTCCATTCTCCTTTGGAATGACATCGTTTGCGTATGTCACTAATCTGTCTCTTAATGAGTCCCATTTCGAGTTTCCATTGTGTCCCTCGTATATTCTTTTCATATTGTCCGTATATTTTTCTTTCATATACAGGTCGCTCAGGAGTTTGTTTTATTGCAATTTGGGTGCTGCGTTAGGCTTCCTTATTTTCCGTAGTTTCACTCCTAGCTTACATATAACCAGACGATGTCGGCAGTTAGGTAGGTTTTGCAGTGAACGATTGCATTCTTGAATATTTTGTTGATAGTTATGTAGTTTATTTGGTTTTTAGTGTCTCCTCATGGGCTCCTCCATGTCCATAATGGTCTCGGATCTTTTGGGAACCATGTGTTGGCTATTACTTTAATCATTGGCCACGCACCATTGAATCCATTTTTTTCCACGTTCATTGCGGGTTCCTAGTCCGAATTCTCCGACTATATCCCCTGCTCTCTTGCTGCTTACATTGGCGTTTTGGTCTCCCATGATAATGATGACTTCCTGTCATTTCCAAAGAGCCTTGTCATTGTTTAGCTTTGAGTAGAAATCTTCGATTTCTTCTCTATTATTTTGCGCTGTATCACTATCATGATAGATATTTTGAAAGGCTTTCCTTTCAGTTTGACTACCAGAATTCTTTCGGATAGTTGTTAATATGCCAGAACGCATTTCTTAAATGTTTTATCTAGTATTAATCCTACTCCTTTGTCGTTTTTCTTTCCGCCGATATAAATAATCCTATACTCGTCGCTGAAAAAATATCCATTGTTTGGCCATCTGGTTTTACATACACCTGGGATGTTGTTCATTTCTTGTTTCACATTATTTAGCTGACCGCAGTTATTCAATGTCTGAACGTTCCATGCCCCGATAGTTATTTTATGTTTGATGCGAGCAGCCGCAGGATAACGGTCCGGGCGATGTTCCGAGAAATGTTATCCCCTTCACGCCGTTTATGCAAGCAGTCGCTGGATGACGGTCAGGTGACACCGGTTGCATCAGTCTGTTCTTACCGGGCGAGGAGTTAACTCCTATAGACTTAACTCCTTGACGTCGTTACGCCGTTACGTTTCAGATTGTGTATATTGTTCGCCATAATATTGGGATTGATAGTGGAGTGGTTTCCCGTTGCCTTCTCCACGGTGATTTATGAAGACACCACCACTAGTTAGCTGGCCGTTGACTCACTGAGAGTTCTTCCACCCTTTGTTAGGTCTTATTTTTGTCCTAATGGCTCGCTAAAGCCGCCTCACCCGGAAGAACTTCGAGTGAGGTAGTCGGTTTAATCGCTGACATTTCGACTGCGGAATACTTACCATATATATATATATATATATATATATATATATATATATATATATATATATATATATATAAGAGAGAGAGAGAGAGAGAGAGAGTTACCCAGCCCTAGGAATACATATTTTTTAAGTTTTACCTTGGTATAAGTTTTTTTTGACTCGGAAGAACTTCGAGCAAGGTAGTCGCTTTAATCGCTGACATTTCGACTGTGGAATACTTACCATATATATATATATATATATGTATGTATGTATGTATGTATGTATGTATGTATGTATAAGAGAGAGAGAGAGAGAGTTACCCAGCCCTAGGAATATATCTTTTTAACTTGGTATAAGTTCCTTTGACGCCTATTAAAACAAAATTGCACTTATTTTTACTCGCACTGGTTACCAAAACCCGAAGTTATATAGCTGATCTGAAAATTAAAATTAAAATTTTAAAATTTTTAAAAATAAATAACAATATATCAAGACTGACTACTTGCAATTCCAATTTCATGTCAATCTTGCTAACCTCGAAGCCATGGTCATTTAGTGAACAGTGTGGCTGACTTCAAATAAAAAATGTCTTCATTTCAAAAACCAAATGCGATGTGGTTGGTTAGGCTAAGAGGTGGAAGGACCAAACAGCATATCGAAGTCACTTTGGCGCGAGGTGAGGGGGCTTCTGAGATGCCATCGTGACCATCCGATTCCAAAACCCTGAGAATAGTGACTTTGCGTTTCAGATAAATAAGACAAGAAAAGGGAATCAGAACAAAAAAATAAAAACATTACTTTTTCGTTTTCCTCGTCTTCTCTTCTTTATTTTTTTATCTAGCAAGTAAGGTCCCACAAGTTGCGAAAAAACCCGAAATCACCCAGATTATTCATGAATAGTTTTTTTACATTTAAAAATTAACATAACTGGTCTGAAAATTTAAATTTAGAAAATTTAGAAAATAAATACCAATACATCAACACTGCATCATGGGGGAAAAAAAGAGATTATGACATTTCCAATTTCATGTCAATCTTGCTAACCCCGAAACAATGGTCATTTAGTAAAACGTCTGGCTGACTTCAAATAAAAATACGTGTCATTTTGTAGATTCCATCAGTCAGTTATGTGCCATGCGGTATACACGCTTAGGCGATCATGTATATTTCGATATATGACTGATGAGACAGATTTTTTCCCCGTAGTAGGGTGCCATTTCTTTCTGCAGTAGACCAGTTGCATCCAAAGCTATAGAACGCGGTCTGTCCTGCTATTTACCCATAGCTGGCGGGTGGAGAGAAGAGGATTCATACATTTCCCAAGAATATTAGCACGTAACTGAATTTAATGGATCTGATTGGATTTCGAACTCGGCTCCGATTCCTCCATCCGAGCCGCTATTCATTACTCCACCGTGCCTCCTATAGTCTCCTGGTACTGACAAGTGCCTGCTGTTACTACGACTGTATGCGTGTAATCTCTTCAAAATGCTTATCTGTGTCCAGTTGAGGTTGAGAGAATAAACTTCCTCGTCCAAGACCTTCCAAGGTAACGCTTCTAAAATAACACTGATTTGATTTCAGAATTTTGTTTGATTAAACAGGTGAACTGAGCAGATGAGCTGATTATTATTTTTAATCTATATAATAAATGCGAATGTCAGTGTGTCACTGTGTCACACGTTTTCATTTAAAGGGGCACAACTCTCTAACTTTCAATAGCTCATGTTACAGAAACTTTGGATCCCCATGTTTTCATTACTGCAATTGTTTTCGGCAATTTTTTTATGTGATTTTCTTTCTTTTTTTTTTGCGACGAATTTTTTTCTATGATAACAATTTATATAACTTACAAATAAATGTGGAAATAATTGAAAATAATTGCGAAATCCATCGAAACTGCCCATGAAATAAAAATAATTGTTTGTAGGGAAAATAAGGACCTACGTGCATCAGATTCTCTTCAAATTAAGTGGCGGCAAAAAAATATCATTGTACTTTTAAAAGGTAAGCTTAACTATTAATGCAATATTTAAATGCATTTTGAGTTCTTCTGTAGTTTATCGCATACGGCAACAGTATGTTTCATAAAAAGATATCTCTGCGAAGAGAGGACCAGATTGCAATCAAAAAAGCCAAGTCCGCAGCGAGGAAAGGAAAGTACCGTGCAAAAGAAAACCCAGATCAAACGGCAGCCAAGAGAACTTCCAGTTTTTAGTATGTTATCAGAAAGAGCAATACAAATACAGAAGGACGTGTACCTATGTTTCATAGACTACGCAAAGGCCTTCGACAAAGTATGCTCCAAGGATCTTTTGGAAATGCTCAGCAACCTTGATATATTCTGGAAAGATATCAAAATAATCAAGAACCTATACTGGCAGCAAACATCATGCATGTGCATAAGGAACAAGTTCAGTGAATATACAAAAATAGAAAGGGGCGTAAGGCAAGGATGCGTCTTCTCACCCGACCTGTTCAACCTATACAGCAAGGCAATTCTGAGAGAATTGGAAGCCCTACCGGGATTTAGCATTAGCGGCCACAGTCGTAACAACATAACATACGCAGATGACACAGTACTGATAGAACACCCGGAGCGACGGAGAGTGAGAAGAGACTAAGCTACAATAAGACCGAATGCATGGTCATCTGTAAAAGGATGAGCCAGTAATGCGATTTGCAGGTCGGGAACACTAGAATCGACCAGACGCGGAAGTTTAAATATCTGGGAAGCGTTTTAACAGAGGACGGTAAGTGCAACACTAAGATCAGTAGGGGTATTGGGATGGCCAAGGACACATTCCAAAAGCTGGTCAGAGTATTGCGAGACATTAGAATTTCTTTGGTAACAAAGAAAAGAATACTGAGCTGTTACTTGACATCTGTCCTTCTTTACGGCAGCGAATGTCGGATGATTTCCTCAAAGATGAAGAAGAGATTCGAGGCGACAGAAATGTGGTTCCACAGAAGGATGCTGAGGATATCATGGACCGAGCGTGTGAACAAGGATGCAATAGAGGATGCAAACAAGGAGGGGGCCTATACTTAGCATCGGGAAGAGACAGCTGAAGTTTCTGGGACACATAATGAGGAAGGAGGTCTTGGTGAATCTGATTCTGACAGGTTGAATAGAGGGGAAAAGTGACAAGGGAAAACAATGCATGACATACCTGGCGGGCTTAAGCAAGTGAATGACAGAACCTAGGCAATTTATAAAACGGATTATCGGCGAAAATTGTACGATTCAATTTCTTCTTTTTCATTAACTTTTTAGGCTTTTCAACAATAGTTAGTTACTTAATGGCAGAAAATTGTTATGGGGGACCAATAATAATTTACTGATACTGTTTAACCCATATCTGGGGGAGACCAGGTGTGTTCCTACGTTTCCCAAGTTTATTTGCGTGTAAGTATAACAAACCTGACTGGAATTAGAACTCTGCTCTTCGATTTTCAAGCCCGTGCCGTTATCCATTTCACCACCCGCACATCCGAGCTTACAACATCTGGTATTCCCAAGCGGTCACTTATCTAGATAGTGACCACTCTCGAGGTTGCTTAACTTCACCTGGGAACTGGTGATTCAATGTGATATGGATGTAAGCCTTTTCATTAAAAGCCAGTGAACACTGATTTCACTATTGTTATTCGCTAAACAGCTTACTGTTTTTTATTATCATTATTAAATTCTTTTCACTTGACTATTTTCATTTCATTGTAGGTTTCCCGAGTTGTTGCAGAATGGCTACAAACGACTGCACAATCTTTGTGCAAACAGGTGACAAGAGAGGAGCGTCGACTGATGCCAACGTCTTTATAATCCTGCACGATGAACACGGTATCGCCAATCCCCAATACAAGTTGGATAATTTCTTTCGGAACGATTTCAAGTGCGGCGCTATCGACGAATTTAAAGTCAAACTACCTTCCAATTTTGGCACGGTATCCATGATAGAGTTCTGGCGGGATAACGCCGGCATTTCTGCTGATTGGTACGTCGAAATCATCAAAGTTGAACAAAACCAACCGAAGACGACCAGCATTTTCCCAGTCTTCCGGTGGATCGAGGCTCAAAACAAAAACGGCCAGAATCGTTACAGGATATATGAACTAGATACTTTCTTGCCGCAGTTCGATCCCAACCAGGAGCAGCGAGAGAAGGAAATCAAACGTAAACGAGAACAATACGTTATAAACTATATGAAAGATATGCCGGACATGCCTGTTCTGGTAAGTGTATCTTCTCTATTAAGGTGGGTACGTATGTGACACTATTTAGCTATGGTAATTAATTAACTAAATAAAAATTGAACGAGAAAATGCTGAAAACAGAAAAGAAGGGTTAAAAATATACCGATCAACATCAGATGATTTTTTTCCAAAAACTCTATTTTTCTCAAGAAACCGAAGAATTGCGTCAACAATAATTTTACGAAAAGGCAATGTGGCGATCTCTGACAATTGATTGATGATGGTCGTTAAAAGTTCTAGTTAAGAAAGCACAACTATAATCGACGATGATATCGCTCGAGAGTGCATAGATGTTGTGTACACAGGTAATGCGAACGAGGAAATGGCCAGACGAGAGAGCCATGTGTTAATTGTACGAATTTTGGCTGAGCGCAAAGGATTTGCGTAAACAAAGTTCCAGTTGATAATTCTAAACTGCTCATGATCTGGGAACAGAATAAGAAATCCTGAATAAACAGTGGTGTCAAAGAGTTAATTAATGAAGCAAGCTCAGCCAAACCAGCACGACCTAGACGCCATTGGTCGTGTGGTACCAGTGGTGATAGGCGGAGGTAAAATATTAAGAGAGAGTTATTAACGCCCACCGAAAGGAATTTGTGTGAATTACCAATGTGAGGAGGAGGGAGTTTAGGAGGAAAGCTATTACGGACGAAGGGATCACTCCAGAAATAGGAAGTAATTAATTTTCCCAAAAATGGGATGTAATTAATTTTCCTGGCCAAACAACAAAAGGGACCCTTGTTGGAAATTGGGGATTCACTGAAAATCCCATGCTGCGTCTAATCCCGCTTGGTTGAAGTCCATATAAGCGAGCGCCTTCGGGCAGTTTGCGTTTGGCAGTTGCGGAGAGCTATGAGAGAGCTGACTGAGAGATTCCACGATTCCTGCCTCCGACTTCACCTTTCGACAAACAGCAAGTTATACTGACGAACGAAACTAAGCCAGCACTTAAAAACTAAACCAGTTGACTTAAAAGACCAGAATTTGCCTAGAAGTATAAAAGCGTCGCTCTCAGAAGAAACGGGTTGGGAAGAAAACACACTCCTTTATAGGACAGACTGATAAAAGATGATTTGCTTTCTTTAAACATACACGAACCTTTTTGGTTTTTACTTATTTCTTTTTGTTTGTGCGATGTCACCTCCAGTTTAGACTCACCTTGCACAATGGCCCCGGTGTCTGATTGATCTCATCAAACTAAGATTAAAATCACAACATGGGTAGGTTAGAATTGACATCAAGATAGTTACTTCGGTAACCAGTCATTGGAAGCGAGCTGAGAACGACGAAGCTGGTGTCGAACCGGTTGCATCTGGTGTGAAACCGTTACTTATTCGTGCCGTTAGAATCGACCGACCATTCCATTTGGTACCCTGAACAGAGGTTCCCACCTGATAGCGACGACCGCCGATCGACAGGGTCACATATTGGTGGCAGTGACTAAGAGTCAACCCCAGAACGCCCCAGTAGATGTCACACGTAAACCATCTCTTTTTTTTTAAATTTTTTTTTCGTATATAAGAAGCTTACCTCACTTGGTGCACCACACATTCGGCCTTGTGATATATCTAAGTTACATTTACAAAATTATTTTGGGTACATTGATGTGATGTAATGGTTAACAAATTTGTCTCCCTAAATCAGTGATTCTCAACAATCACCCCTTGCAAGTTTGTTCTACATTGTAACAGTTCTGGGTAAGAAGCTGTGTGATTGGAACTTACTCCTTGCTAATAGAATAGAAAGGGAACTTTGTATTCGTAGCATGGTGAACCCTGGATGTGAATGTCTGGATTGGTGGAACCAGTGAATGTAGTTTGTTCGATCTACTATGAAAATAGTGGTCGAGTAGCGAGAAGTCAGCAACGTGGGAAAGGAGTCGAACGGTGAAAAACAATTGATCACCCGTGCAAACGCCTTTGTACTGGGGGATAGGGGGGAAAAGAAGGATTTGGGCAGCTCTGGGCCGGTTGTTGTAGCAACATTCAAATTTTTGTTTGATCTGGCTTTGAGAGATAGCAATCAAGCATGATAGAAGGAGTCAGATACTTTCTGGAACAGTACAGGGAGCTGATCATTTTTCCTACGTCTTTAGATCACACACGCTCGCGCGCACACACACACACACATGGATAGAGAGATAGATATTATGTATTATTTTAATACCAATACTCTGACGATGTGAAAAAAACCCAGATAATACAATTTGTAAATAAAAAATATATTTGAACAAACCGATATCAAGTTAAAAAAATCAGTAAAAAAAGAAAAGACTAAAGATATTTGTGTTGGTCAAAAATAATCAATCAGTACCGCAATGCCTAGTCAAAAGAAAAACCATCGAAAGAGTAAATTAAGTAAAAAGGTAAAACTGACCAATACACTAAGTAGAACAAATCTAAAAAAAAAACTTTGTATTATCAGCATAGATATTCACAAATGATTCGAGTATATACTTGACTTGATCATTTATATAAAGTCGATAGAGAGTTAGACCACAGATTACTGGCCGTTAACAACTTCCTTCAGGAACCTACCCATTACGAAAGACTTGATAACTGAGAAGAGGTACTTGATTTTACCATTACTTTTTTGAACACTGTTTGAAATTATAATCGGATCTTCAGTGTCAAAATTATTCATATTGAAAGTTTCGTCTAGATTCTACAATTTTAGATCATGTTTAATTTCTTTCTTCAAATATTATCTGCTTATGTCTTAGGGGACTATTGTTTTTAATGATTACTGTTTTTGAGACTCCTATTTTTGTTATATTCTTTATAGGTGAAAGACTTGCCAATTGATGAGCAGTTTAGTGCTGAATATGTGGTAAGTAACGAATTTTCAGGCTTTCCACTTTCGATTAAATTTTAAAATACGATTTGCGTCTACGTAAGCACCTTAATAAGTTACAGACAAAACATTTATTTTATTTCCACACGGCAAATATTTTTCAGCATAATCTCATTCCTTGTTAATACACTTAACCCGACGCTTCACTACCAAACACATAAAGTGTCATGTGATCCATGCCAGGAAATATTGATCTGAAACGAATTTAATATCGATAAGGGACATCTTGAAGGTAACCTCATGGCCACAAGGTGCAGAATCGTACCCAACAGGATGTCATTGGCTTCCCCAACACCTAAACAGACGGTCGACCCAGCTGCGGTTAGGAAGTGCCCAGCCGGACAAGCGAATATCATGAAGATACATAAACGTTCCATCCGACAGGGTAAAATAGTATTTAATATCAATAAGGGACCTTTTGGGTCTAATTTGATGTGATAACCACAATATGTACTGCGCTAACCCTGACAGATAACAAAGTAGGCTTTCCACTCAGTATCGCATCAGAGTATCAAAGTGAATTAGTTGACATTGAAGGTATCATAATGACCACCTAACAGGATGTTGGTGGCTTTCGCAACACCTGAACAGGTGGTCGATTTAACTACGCTACGGAAGTGCACAATCGAGACAACCGGATGTCAAGGAGATATATCAACCTTCCACCCGAGACGGTAAAAATAGTCTTACATCTTCGTGGGAAGAAGAATCCATGTTCGGAGAAAGCCCTCATGAATTGGAACGAAAGTGGTGATAGCACCGACCCTGAATCCATTATAAAAATTCAGGATGCAGTATTAGTGAATACTAAACCCTTTAAATACCGCAGTGTATGGATTAGTTGTAACAAATGTAGTATGAGAGTTAAAGAAATTGAAAGTAGAACAGGCTGCACTAAGAGTTGTTTCACACAATACCGCCAATTCCCACAAAACCAAAATATTCACCTAAAAACTCGTCATCTTCTTAAATAGCTTCGTCAGATCGTGGTTTTCATATGGGTGCCATGAATGGTGCTAAACTCGTTCAGAAATATCGGATTTTATCACCTGTATTCAACCGCTTTCTCAGATCAATGGTTAAAAATGGTTTCCCGCTGCTGAAGGTTGTTGATCTTAGCGAGAATTATCTTTCTTCGAACCTTATAGACTGGCACTAGAGAATCACGTACAAATATAATAATAGGTAACCAAAAAGTCCGTTCCATTTTTGATTTATTAGAAAAAGAAAAGTATACAGCAAATATGAAATACTTTTAATCCTCAAAGTAATCCCCATCGGCAGCCAGAACCTTTTGCCAACGTGTCTCCACCTGCGCAATGCTCTGTTCATAAACATCCGGTGTCTTAGAGGCAAAGAAGTCTGTGGGTGCCTACTACAATTCTGTCTCATTTGCGAAGGATTTCACACGAAGGTTGTTTTCCAGTGATTGGAAGATGTGGTAATTTGTTGGCGCAAGTAAAATGGATGGCACAGTGTCTCTCAGCCAAGTTGTCGTATGGCATCCTTGGCCACCCGTACCACATGAGGCCTAGCATTGTCATGGGGGAATAGTACGCACTTGTGATTAACCAATGCTTCAGTACCTGTTTTACACATTCCAACTGCTGCAATGATGGTTTAGCCCGTTGGTAGCAGCACACCGCGTATCACTTGTCGACTAATCCACCAAATACATAGCCTGATCATGCATGTGCGGAGAGGTGGTTTTCTAGTGTGAGGCACGGGGACCCGTAGTGACAACCAAGATCTGGTACGTTTGTGATTATCATACAGGACCCACTTTTCGTCACTTGTGAGCGCTCGATCAAATATGGTTGCGTTGTGTTGTCGCTTGTTTTTGCTTGTTGGCTTCTGACAGTGCGTAGAGGATGCCTAATTACTCAATGTGTACGCCTTCTTTATGCAGTGCAGGTGAAGTCTGTCTGTTTCATCAGAAACCTAGAAGCGTTCAACATGTTCACCACAGGTTTGGCTGTTGTCCTCCTCTATGACCGCCATCAAGGCCTCATCATCCAGGACCTATTGCCGATCACAGCAGGTTTCATCACAAAGGGACAGATCTCCCGACATGAACTTCTGGAGACAATTTCTCGCAGTGGATTCACTCACAGCATTGTCTCCAAATACTTGACGTATTCGGCTACGTAAAAAGCCAACCTTAAAGTCATAGAACGGAAAGAAAGTCTTTGTTGTTGTACCATTTTTGTGTCTCTTTGTTGTTGTTTCGTATTTAGTGCTGCTTTGTTGTGCCTTTTTGGTCTCTTTCTTGCTGCGCCTTTTTTGTGTCTTTTGTTGTTGTGCCATTTTTGTGTCCCTTTGTTTTTGTGCCATTTTTGCATCTCTTTGTTGCTGTGCCATTTTTGCGTCTCTTTATTGTCTCTAATTTTATTTCTGTTTTTCTTTATTTAGTGTCTCTTTGTTGTGCTTTATTTTGCGTAAACCTCAACGCTTGAGAACTTTCAACAGCACAGCAAATAAATCTGACATCACATGTAACTTAAAGAGAAAATAATAACATGATCAAAATGTTGACACTCCACACTACATCAAACAAAATTCTAGCAATGAAGCTCCCATCTGAGAGTGAGAATAGTTACTCGAGAAATCTATTTTCCTGAAAAAATATTTTGAGTGAAAGATTTTATAAATTCCCATCAACAGCAGTATTGGCTGCTCATTAAACAAATACTGAATGTTTCCTTATAAGGAAACGGCTAATATTATTATTACCATTGTTTTGTTTTTTTTCTGAAATTGCTTACGGTATGGGGATAAAAACATTGGCTCTTCACAATTCCTTTCTTTAATACCTAGGAATTTCCTTGTCTTAGGCGATAGAATGGAATAGTTTTTCATTGTCTTCTCTACTGTTTTAGATTTAGTTTTCCTTTCCTTAGATTAGCTGACACTCAAAGTTTGATATTCCAGTCTACTATGCTATTTGACCTATTGCTGGAGTTGGGGTTGGAAAATAGATTCATGCCTTTACCCCGGGACATTTTCGCAAAAGTGAACCAATAGACGACGCGGGAATTTGAACTCGCGACGTCAGTCTCATTCCCCACGACAATTACCGTTATCTACCCGCACATCTACTGCTATGCCTAATAGTCTTTTTTAATTAGTAAAGCGAGAAGAAAGAACTAAATATCAATTGCAAGAAGACAGAATGCATGGCTGTTAGCAAAAAGGAACATGCAAATTACAAATTGGAGTTAACGAAATCAAATAATTCCCACAATTTAAACATTTGGGAAGTGTTTAAACATAGGTCGGAAGAACGACACAGAAATTCGAAGGCTCACTGGTATAGCGAAATATGCTTTCCAAACACTAAGCAAAGTATTACCAAACAGGAAAATTTCGTTAGAAACAAAGAAAACAATGCTGAACTCTTATGTAATATCAATCTTCCTATATGGCAAGGAATACCGGACAATCTCCTCCCAAATAAAGAAAGGACTTGAATCAACAGAAATATCACTACAGGAGGATGCTGAGGATGCTATTGACCGAACAGATGAGCAACGACGAAGTACTAGAAAAAAAAACGAAAAGAATTGTTATGCTTCACATCAAAAAGCGATAGTTGAAATTTCCAGAGCACATAATGAGAAAAGAAGGCTTGGAAAATGATACTCACATGATAGATTGAAGAAAAAAGGGACAAATGAGAACAAAGCATGCTACCAGGTGATCGTGAATGAATCGATGGTGGATGAGGGTTTGGGGGAGTTAACCAAAAGACAAGTCTTATTAAGAACTACTATGAACAGGAAATTGTGGAGAGCCATGATTGTCAAAGTCCTGAATAAGAATATATTTTTCTTGATGAAAATATCGGCAATTCATTTTTTACCCGTTGTGTTCGATTCATTTTTTAATAAACGAACAGAAAGGAATTCTACGGCATTCCACACAAGACCCTTCACTCTCCCTAAACGCACTAAGTATGGTGTTCGCTGTTTTGAAACACATCATCCAGTTGATTTCACAGCAGCCTTCGTTTCTCTTCCTAATATCACGACCTCTACTAAGAACTTACTTTAAAGTTGGGGTCTGTATGACGTATTATGCTGATAAGTCCATATCAGTTGATGGATTCTAAATTTCCATTGGCTGATGGATGCATCAGTTGAAATGAAAAAAAACAAACATTGTATACATTTAAAGTAAATATTGTTAAGCTTAATGTTTAAATATCTTGTTCCTGTTTGTACTGTCACGCCGGACTTGAGGTAAAAGTTGAAGTTTTAATTCTATCTTCCCAGATTTCGAAGAAATGAATACATATTTTGGTATTTTATTACTAAGCAGGGAACCTGTGAATAACTATTATTAGAATAATCTTCCTCATTTGTTTTAGAGGAATGGGCAACAAATTTTACTTTGAAAGTTTTATTTTTTTTTTTTTATAATTTCACCCCAAGTAAGGCAATAATGCTAATAATACGCAAAGGTTACGGAGTGTAAACGAATATAAGGAAAAGACAATGACTGACGTTGCATTTGAATTTTTGAAGATCAAAGTTGCTGGAAAGCAAGAATCCAGAAGAGAATTCCACAAACGAGAAGTGCGATAGAAGAAACTGTTACCATAGAACGGTTGCATCTTAAATTTTTTTTTTAAGTGTAAAATAATTGTTGAATTTTCTTTTTTACATTTGGAATACAGAGGAAATTAGGTTAATTTGGAAGTAGCATGACATGTCATAGCTGTCAAGGTCTGGACTGATAACACAAAACAATGGAACTCGTCTGAACATTTGCCATGGAAATAGCTGTGGTAGCGACAGGATTGGGAATTTTGCGTCTATGGGGAAAGAGGTTGCAGGGTGAAAAATAAGCTTCGCTCCCGCCACAAAATCGCATAAAATATGTTGAAATCTAAGACTGAAAAGTATTTTTTGTGTGTGTGAGTATGGTTTTCTTGTGTATGTGTGATTTTTTTTTAATAATTTTCGTGATTTTTTTGTGTCTTTGTTTTTCTTGTATGTCTTTTTGTGTTTTTTTGTATATATGTGTTTGTACATTTTTACGTATGTATTTCACTTTTGCTTTTCCTTTTTCTGTGTTTTCTTTTTTTGGTGTATGTGTGTTTGTGTTTTTTGCTTTTTTCTGTTTGTGTTTTTTCGTGTATTATGTGTCTGCATTTCTTGGCGTATTTCTGGCTTTGTTTTTGTTTTTTTTCTATGTGTGTTTATGCCTCTTTTTTGCGTATGTGTTTTTTGGGAGGATTTTTTCTTTTCTTTTTAGTATGTGCTTTTACATTTTGTTTTTTGAGTTTGTTTTTCCGTGCATGAGTTTCTGTGTTTTTCTTTTTATTGTGTGAATTTGTGCTTTTTTGCTTTTCGTGTATATGTTTTTTTTTTTTGTTGTTTGTTTTTTTCGCATATGTTTGTTTTTCGTGTATGTTCTTTTCTTTTCTTCACGTGTGTGTTTGTGTTGTTTCCTATGTTTTTGTGTGTCTGTCTTTTCGTGTTTGTATATGTATTTTTGTTTTGTCTTTTTTTGTCGTTTGTGTGTCTTTGTCATCTTACTTATTATAAAACGCAGGTTGTGTGTGTGTGTGTGTGTGTGTGTGTGTAACGTTTATATGTTGGATCGAATTTCCTACATTTTTTAGCCGATTTCAACAAAACTTCACAGGACTACATAAAATTACCTTGTAGTGGTTCTAACGGTGCCGAAAATGGGAAAAACACAGTTGTTTTTTAAGAAAATCATTTTGAAAACACGATTAAGACACATCGTGAGAATGAAAGGGGGGACAACTCACCCACGAAAATGTAAACAAAAGAGCATAGCATTATGAAAAAGACGCCGAACTTGACGAAAACAAAATTTTATCGTCTAATGTTCATATTATTATTAAAGAGGAAAGATCAAAGTATTTTGGGGGTATTTTTTTACATTTTTTAATTGTTCTTAGCATGTCTGAAATTTTTGTTAAAAATATTGTTTTTTTTTTTGGGTCAAAAAAAAGAACAATCATTATCAATCATTTTTTTCGATTTAAAAGATTAAAATCTTACTTTGATATTCTTTTAAAAATCAATTATCATTTTTTCAAAACTGATTTTAATAAAAACAGAAATTATACTGTTTATTTAAAATATTTTGAAACCAAGCTTAACTAGCTTCTGCGCCGAAAAAATGTAATTTGAAAATAAAACAAAGCAGGTCATAACCTTTCGCGTCGCTTGACGATTGACGAAAGGCACATTCATGACGTTTAGATAACTTACGGGAGGAGAATTCTTTCTACGGATGGAAGGAAGTGAAATTATTTAAGTGAACAAATTATTTACCTTGTTACTTTTAAGGAAAACTTTCAGCACTCTAATTTTAATTTTTTTTTTTTTTTTTTTTTGTACTTAGCTTTCCTTTTTACGTTTACGATGCTTTATGGAAAATATAAAGAAATTAAAAATAAGACTGTTAATAGTGAGATTAAATTTCATAAGAAAAGGTATCTAATTATTTTAGGTACCTTTCTTATGAAATTTTATCAGAAGTGTACATAAAATACTATAATTTTATGTACATTTATTACATTTTACTGTGTTATTTGTATTTCAATTCATTTTATTATTAATTTTGATATTTCATTTATGGAAAAATGTCATAACTGAGATTAATATAAAAATAAGATCATATAAATTAAAGTTTAGCAGTAGTTAAATTTCATAAGATGATACTGTTACTTGTAGGTACCCTTCTCAGTTGAAATTGAAAACTCAAATTAACTTCTCCATAAGTGTTTCGCAAAAGTAAAGGGCTTAAAAGCGGAGAACAATGCTGAACTCAAATAATGCAACTAATTGTATTCTGGTTGGTCTTCCGTACTTGATAATTACTGTCCGACTATAAACACAAAAATTACATTTCTTAATTACCATGGGTAATCTGATTGGTCCAAATTATACAATTTTCAAAGCGCTAGACAATGACAATCTCACACGGACATTTTGAAAGGTTGATGTTGCTTTTAAGTTTTAACTAATGTTAAAATATTTTTAAAATTCAATTTAAACATTTTTTAAAATTAAAAAATAAGAAATAATTGTATTAAAATTCAATTTTCATTGAAAAATTTTTTTGCTTTCAGAAAATATTGTCCATATTCATAAAAACAAATTAAAACAAATAAAAGCATTTGAAACTAAATAATATATTTGTTTTATTGAGTTTTGTATGTTACAATTCACAGCTGATTTTCAGGTACGTTGGAAAAAAAAAAAAAAAAAAAAAAAAAAAAAAAAACATGATTTGCATTCTTCAAAGCCTTGTGCTTTTAACTATTGTAATCACTAAAACCGATGGTCTCGAATTTCCAGAGTTTTTCATAAAATTAGTTATGGAGGTGTTAATAAATATAAAAAAAAATATTTCTGCCATGACTTTAATAAAAAAAACATATTTATAATAATTTCGATCATCTGTGAATAGTTTCTGAAAGTTTCATTAACATCTGACAATTACTTTTTTTTTGCAAGATTTTCCAAATTAATGTGTGTAAATACAAAAAAACGCGCTAAAAATTATCTATGTTATTTACTACCCCTTCTAAAAAGATGGAAAAATTTTTTAAAAATAATTAAAAAAAAATTCCTAAAAAATCTATCCTCTTCATAAAAACATAAGCATTTTGACGATAAAATTTTGTTTTCATAAACTTTGGCGTCTTTTTCATCAGACTATGCTCTATGTTTTGGCGATTCCGTGGAGTGACTCAGGTTAAAAAACCCAGGTTGTTTATGTGTGTGTGTGTGTGTGTGTGTGTGTGTGTGTGTGTGTGTGTGTGTTCCTTTATATATGGGATCGGATTTCTTACATTTTTCAGCCGATAAAACAAACATCCACTTTTTTTTCGGCAGGTAGTATTTCTTATTGTCTTGCACACTTTTTTCTTTATTTACATTCAGAATGCTTTAAAAATTCCATTTACAAGACAATTGTTTATAATAAAATTCTATTCACCAATCGATAGACTCATAATGATTGTAAACAATGTTTTTGTTTGAATTTGGGTTTGACCAATTCAAAAAAAAAAAAACTAATTAAGACATGCGTGTCCGTCAACCTTAAACAATAATCTTTGTCAATTTTATTTTTCAGTCTTTATGATGGTCGATACTTGATCTATCTCTTACTGTTACATCCCCGGGCAACGCTAGGCTCTACTGCTAGTACTTTATAATTTGCTTTCTTTTTTCCCTTCAACATTCTCATTCACTAACACTGCTAACGCCTATTTGTATTTCTTTCTTCTTTTCATAGAAAAACCTTCTTCTCAGTAAATATGAGCATTTGTACCTAAACTTCAAGGCCAAATTATTGATCCACGAATGGGATTCTTTTGACGACATAGATAAGATTTATGATGACGAAAGAAAGAAACCTCTCGTAAGTACAACATTTTCTTAATTAAGACTTATGTCAAAGTTTATTGATTAAAAGTTTACATGACTGCTGTCTTGGAATGTGGTCTAAAACCTGATTTTTTTTTTTAGCTGAAAAGTTGACTACAAGCATCTTAATTTCTCCCCAAGTAAAGTGTTCGAATTCTAAAATTTCAGTTTTATTGGTTGTAATTATTGTTTTATTTTTAGAGACTTTTCCGGAAAAAATAACTTTAAAGGAATAATATTTGGCATGACTCTTGCTGTGCTTCTCACTTCAAAGAATAAAAAAGCAATAATTCGACCGGTTTAAAGAAACTACTAAACGTATCTACCTTAAATCAATTTTCCCTTGTCGATAACGCTTTACGTTAGTAAAAAGAAGAATTAGCCTTCGCTAGTTAACTTTCCAAAATATGATGCATTACAGCTTCTCGGTGTTCCTTAAGTTTTTTTTTAGTCCGGAGAGAAGCCGGCCAGTCTGAAGCGTTTAGATTTATTGATTGATTCGTTTTTTACGACTTATCAACCCTTTGCAGGTTATTCAAATATTTTTAGATTCTAAGAATTTTTTATGATAATATTGATTTAGTGATACAGGTCATACTAATTAATCCATAGCTGGAGGAGAATAAGTGGATTCATACCTTTCTCAAGGGTATTTGCGCGTAATTATCATTGCCCTGCAATGCACAATCTCTCCATTGTGGCAGAAGACCGAAAGTATGAGGCACCCAGTGAGGATCGAAATACGCCCCTAAGTAGTACGTGTAAGAACTATCAGAATCAGTTGTCGGTGGAAACATCCATAACTTTATTGATTGGTTGATTAATTTTCTACGGTTTATCAACCTATTGCAGGTTATTTAAAGTCAGAATATATTTTTAGATTGTAACAATTTTCTTTTTGGTGATAATAAAGTTTTAATGATACAGGTATTACTAATTCACACATAGCTGGGGGAGAAGAGATGGATTCATACCTTATGGAAGAGTATTTGTGTGTAAGTGAATATTTTATTCTCCAGATGGCAATCTGAAACAAACTATAATCCGAGAACCTTTCATAGCTCATCTGCCCATTAGAAAGGCCCGGATAGAGAATCCCCCATCCACATACTCAACCGCAAGCCAACAATCTTATCGTGATTGATTTTGACCCCTATTACCGTCGTACACTCCCTGATTTCTTTAACGATTTTGTCAATCGCTGCATCGCTCCTTACACTCACAGATACGTTTGTATCGGTGGAGTATCTAATCAAAGTGGCAGTAAAACGTCATGTGAATATGCCTAAGACTATATTCACCTTTTAACTTGAGAAGGAAAATTTTCTACTCAAGAATATAAATCAGTGAAATGGAATCTGAAAAAGACATGAAAGGTTTTCACCGTATCTCATTCACTTTACCCACCGCACCGCGGAAGCCTCCAGAAATAAATGATCAATCTTATAAATTTGATCGACGCAGACTCAGTGTCGAGTTTTTTAATGATCAAGCGTACTAAATGAATGCTGTCCTGAGTTTTCCTGCCCTTCACAGTACAAGTCTGTTCAGGGCCAATCAAGCTATAGAGCACAACGTAGACTGCTAACTAAGGCCTTGACTAAGGTCTGTTAGAGGTCGAAAATTACTAGTCCTGTCCTTTTTGCGTTTATCTACGTGCAGCAATTTAATCCGACCCCTAGTAAAGCATTGGGATAGACATCCCATTCTTCAATCAATTGTTAAAGATCAAGCTAGCAAAAACAAAACAGACCCTGACGACTGGCTTGAGAAAAATTCATAGACCGTCCTGACGATAAACTTCATCCGACAGCAAGGTTTCTGCTCGGAAGGTTTTGAGGTGCGTTGAAACACTTATTAATTGAAATTGTTCCCAGGTGAGCTGGTCCTGATGAGCTGGGGTGGTAACATTGTTAGGATTAAAACACGATGAAAGCATAAACAATACATTTTTATAGTAAAAATACATACATTTTCATAGTAAAAAAAATATTACATTATTTTGTAAAAAAAAAAAAACTAAAAATACCAGCAATGCATTTTTGTAAATGAACTTACTAATGCTCCCAAGAAAATTAAATTTCGACATTAAATGACCCATGTTGAGTCGATATGCCGCTAAACAAGCAATTCATTGGAAAGTCATCTGTACCCAGGATCTTGCTTTGCTGGCCAGAATCAGCGCTTGCCATGTTTTATCCTCTGTTTGAATCACTTTGAGACGAACAAACTCTGCTAAATAGGCATCGATCTGAGCAGTGCTCAGTCGTGGCTCTTTGATAAAAAGCCCCTGAAAGTAACTTCGAAAAATCTCGCTTTTGTCTTGTTCTTTTTCTGGCAAAATGACGCTCGCCATTCAACACCCATATTCGTTGTCGCGGAATACATTCTTTTTAAATTGGCCCCAACCTCCAGAGTTTGGTCCGTTCTTGATAAATTAGAAGGTGAGCCCCGCCTTAACGATGGCTATTCTCCAACCATCCACGTTTTAATAGTCCTGTTTACTCTAGTTTCCCGTGTTGTTTGCTTTTCTAATCTAGGTTAAACCGACAAGAACATTTAACTGAACATTTAAAATGGACCCTCAAATTATTCCCAAATACAGCCTCCGTACATGTCCATTTTAGTATTAGTAAAAACAAAGTGGTCCTGGAAATGTTTGTCGATTTACAAGAAATCAGTCAACTTAATCCTAGGGTTATCTAAGTTTACACGAACCCTGTCAAACCTTTGGTCCGTATAAACGATATTATAAAAGCTGGGACTGTCTAAAAGCCCTATTTGACTCTCATAACTAAAATTTGATTGATGTAGCTAGAATAACATTGATTCCGAGTTGCTGTTGCACTGCGTGTCGCCTCTGGCTTCACTTGATCTATAGGCAATTCTTCAGGCTCCAGCGCTGGATCACAGACTGAATGAACGACGAACACTTTCCTTAATTTTTTTTCTCGCTTTATTTCAGCTAGGAGATATTCATAATAGTATCGTTTCTTGAAGGAAGCGATAGAGAGATGAAGTGGACGGAATTCAGCAGGTCGATAAACGGTGAGGCAGCATTACTCTTCATAGATCCCTGCCATACAGAGTTTGGGGAGATTTTTCGATTATATTAAAACTCTCTCATGTATGTTTATGTGAAGTATAGACATATATTTTTTCATTTTATTCTTTAAAAACACTTCGGCTACTCTATTCTATCTTGAATCCGCCTCTGGTTGAATGATCAGCAAGTTATTGTCAGTGATTGCTTCGCGATTGTGTCTTCGGACGTCACACTATAATAGACTTTTACACTTTATCGCTATTTGTGTTTTTGTTTCGGATTCATTCATAATTAAAATATCATTTCATATATTGGCAATATTAAATGTCTCTTAATATAGGCAGCAGATCACTGGAATGAAGATGTTTGGTTCGGTAACCAGCGTTTGGTAGGATGCAACCCGGCTCTCATTAAGCTGTGCACGGAGATTCCTGAAAAGTAAGTCTCACTTTAAGAATGTTATGATTCATGATGATGATGATATTTCATCATTCTCGAAATAAAGATCCGAAGCCTCATCATTATAAAACAACCTTTCTACCACAAGCAGGTGGTAGTAGCAGTAGTAAAAAAAGCAACACGGACGTATCTCTTTCGCTCCGTAAAAATCCATAGTTGACGGTTTCAAAGGCTTCCCTTAATCATGAAATTCTAGGAACAATTATAAACAAGTAAGCTCAAATTTTAAAGAAACAAAAAGAGAGAATTGCCCTGAGAACATTTAACACACACAAAACCAATATTGTAAATAACATCACGAAAAGAAATATACACATTCTTGTCATTAATTTCAATACGTGTCTCAATCTTACTGTTGGATGTTATTGTTGAACGTTTTATTCATTTCATTTGCAGTATAAAAAAGAAGAGAGAAATAATCCTTTATTAACTACGAATATATGTCACAAGGGATAATATTAAGTACTCTACAGTCGATCCCATTACAAGAACTTATGTGTATCTGTGTGTTAGCTAGTCATATTATCTGTTTGATAAATTAAAATTACGACCTCTGTTGCTGAATATATTTTTTTTTAAATTTAGTATATGCAATGTAATATTTTTTAACACTGTTCATGGTTTACGGGTCGTTTTAATTGGAATTTATTTATATGTTAATTCTAATTTTTTATTAGCAAGATGGATAAAAACAAGCCGTACAAAGAAAAGGTTGTTTCTTTGTGTTTTTTAGTTTCAGATAGACTGACCGATACGATTTACTTTGGGGAGGGGGATCCACCTGGGATGTCCTTATTCCAACTACCACTTTTTTAATTTGTACATTCAGAAAATTTCCTGCTACTCTTTTTATTCCGATCATCTCATCTCTTTGAGATCTGTGTAGTTAGTTCTGTTTAATTATTTTTTCTCTCTCATTCGATTTAAATTCACAAGTAAATTTTTGTTGGAATGGTTAACTGTTATTCTATTTAATCACAGGTTCGAGAGACATGGATCCATGCATTTTACAAGGACGTTGGTTTGAAGTCAATACGAATTGTCCAAAACAATGTTTGACCCACCCACACCTGATTCAATTCGCATTCACATTCTGCTTCTTTTAATTACGACAGTAGAAGGTTTTAATTTTTGATATTAAAATAAATAAATTGCAAAGCAATGCCTTCGTAGTTGATATAGTTTTTTTTTTCTATTTCTTGCCAGTGGATGTGTTTTTGAACCCTATCCTCTTAGCAAGCACCATCTTTCTTCTATTGCCTTCTTTAGACTTTCGTCTCTCTCACCTTCTTTTGACTTTCGTCAATTTCTCACCTTCTTTTGACTTTCGTCAATTTCTCACCGTCTTTAGACTTTCGTCCCTCTCACCGTCTTTTGATTTTCGTCTCTCTCACAATCTATTGTCTTTCGTCTCTCTCACCTTCTTTTTTGAATATCTGTTTTAAAATCTAGATAGCATTGACTATACGGCTTTCAAATCACATTTTTGCATTAATATTTCGCTAAAATTTTAACCGAAAAACGTTAATAATAAAACTCAATGTATTTTCTTCAGATTCGGCGTAAATGAAGAAATGATGAAACCGGTTTTGAACGGCAAGACCCTCGCCAGTCTCATGGAAAAGAAGCGACTGTTTCTAATAGATTTAACTATTACAGAGGATTTGAAGCATAAGGAAAACTTTAATGTTAGTAAAAATGTTTTAAATATTATTCAAATGTCTTCTCTAACAAGAGCGTTTATTCTGCAAAACTCTTTTCAAGAAAACTTTTGTTGAGTTTTTTTTTTACGGCTTATCAACTCTTTGTGTTATTTAACACATTTTGAGTTACAAGAATTATTTTATTTTTTTAGCGAATATGTAATCAATCTCAACTTTAGTCACTTTCTCACCGACGAGACGTGGCTTCCCTCTGTGCTTTCCATAAATATTTTCATTGTTCTTTCCACCTACGCAATTTCACTCACAAGTCATGGGTCAATTGGTCTTCAGGTACTATCCAAAGGTTACGCATGCTGGAATCGTCTCTACAGGCCAAGACCATCAAGAAGCCACCTTCCTGACAAATCGGCCATTGTTCTAACAATGGCACGCAGCCGCAAATGACATCACGATGTCCGTACCAATAACTACTACAATGCAAAGAACATAATTAGCTGCTTCAATTTTGATATATACTAAAGTATGTAAGCAAATATATGGATATAGATCTAACAGTATGAAGAAAAATATACTGAAAAAAAAAAACAAAAATCCTAATATGCGATTATGCTGTTTTAATGTTTAATGTCAACGTCGGACGTTTCGGTCTAATAGACCATCATCAGGACATATTCATAAAACATAATTAACATAGACCATATACAATTCAACATGAAAAAGACGATGGACATAAAAGCATACTAAAGTATATATACTATATATTACTATATAGTATATATCGTAGAATAGGTATATTGATGTTGACTTATATAAAAATACGTATGCTGGTGACACACTGAATGATTTTAAAACCTTAAATCGGCACAAAAGGTTACCGACCCCTGCTTTAGAAAGACATTAAATCAAATATAAACTTTGATCAAAAGCTGTAGAAGCAAATAGACGAATTATTCTGACACTAATAGTCGTTTCATTGATGGTATATCTGGTTTGTATTTTGTGTTGTTCACAGCCAGTGATTATCGCCATATGCTAAGAGTGAGAATTGTAAAGCAATATTCCACATTAATTGAACTGACTGTGAACGCTGTTGTCATTTCAAATTTATAAAATCTTTTTACTTAAAACAGTTTTTTCAGGAAATTAGACTTTTCAAGTTGACTAAATGTTATGGTTCTTTCTAATATTGAGATGATTTTCAATCCAAATTTTTTAAGGTCATGTGTCAAGTTAACATTCTTCATTACCGTATATGCTCGGCTTCATTGTAGAGTGCAACCGTTGAATTATTTCTGCTATGAATTTTAAGCCTTTCAGAAAAGATTTACCTGTGTATAGTGCAACCGGTCACATAAAATGCATGATTTTTAAACTCCTTAAAAAATTACCTGTTTATAATGCGACCCTCTATTTTTTTTTTTGTGTAAAAAAATTATCATAAAAGATCGCACTATACACTAGTATATAGGGTATGCCACTATTTTCCGTTCTCGTTCCATTTGTTACCTATTTTTCTTGTTGTTGTAAGTATTCGAGTAATGTTGTTTTGTGTATTTGGTAAAGCCTGGTGTTCGTGATTTGGTAGTGCCAGTCTTTAGGGCCCGATGAAGGATTGTCTTCTTTAAGAGCTAACGGATTCATTCGTTTGAAGCCATTTTTGATCATTCATCTGAAAAGAAAATTCCTTTTCTTAAGGACATTGCTATGTGAAAATAAACATCCCCGGCTTTTATTCGAACTCGGCCCGTCGATCTCTCTTTCTATGTTGATAACCGTTTAGCTACTTGCACTTCACTTACATTTTCTAGATCCCCACGTTGTCACCATCTTCATCGTGACTCTGCCAATGTGTCTGACTTCATTGAACGTAATATTTTCTCCAACTTTTCCCTTTGATCGCTTTTGATTTTTAAACGACTCTCTTCTAAATTTTAATCAAATCTATGTAAATAAAATTTTAAATTATTTTAATCTTGCTAATATAAATAAGATCGTCTACTCTTTGCATATCTGTGCATTTGTTTGTTTTTTCTTTAAATAAATCGCTTGATTAATCTAAGAAAAGGAAATGTTTACATAAGCGCTTGCAGACACAAAATCTTAAATTCTCTTAATTTCGTGGGACTTAACTCAGACTTCGTTGCATACAAAAACTAGTTGTAAATTTATTTCCTTTCTTTTTTTTTGTGAGAGGAATTCGTAACAAGCCTCATATTGTTCTGAACTTAATCTTGCTTTCAACATATTTTTTTCTTTTAAATCTCATTTTTCAGATATGCGCCCCAATGGCGTTGTTCATGCTCGATGACGAAGACCAGTTGATGCCAATTGCAATCCAGCTGAAACAACAGAAAGGACCAGAAAATCCGGTTGGTAAAAATAAATATAAATAACTGTAGTGGCGCATTACTTGTTTATTTCCAGTATATTTATATATATAAAAAAATATATATATTCATTAATTCTCATATTAATTAAGTATCATATTTATGTATATAAATATTTATTACTTGTTGATATTTAATTCTTCCGATTAAATTTTAAATTTCATGTCCCCTGATACTGATATTTAATGTTCACGATACTCAAAGTGACTTCGATTTCAGTGACATTTTCATTGACATTATGTCACGATTTCACATAAAAAAAATTCAAAATAAGGTTTTATATATACATTTCCTTCTTTTATATATATATATATATATATATATATATATATATATATATATATGGTTGGAATACAAATTACTGGTTCTTTTTCTGAGTGGAAGAGAAGGCAGCAAGTCCTGAAGAGTGAACATGTTGTCTTGACGTGCTCACGAAACTACGTAGTCGGCATGACTGAACGAACACCAGTCAGCTAAATGATAAACTTCTCCAAATCAATTATATATATATATATATATATATATATATATATATATATATATATATATATATATATATAGAGAGAGGGAGAGAGAAAGTCTACAGAAGTATGCTCAGAATTACATGGACAGAACAGGTTAGCAATAAGGTAGTTTTTAAAAAGTACTATAAATCAGAAAGAGACCGTTGAAATTTCTGGGACATATAATGAGGAAAGAGGGCTTGGAGAATTTGACACTCACATCTTGAAGGCAAAAGAGGGAAATAGCAAGTAACTCGCCTAATAATAAGCTTTTGTAAATGGGTAGTCGATTTTGGGACTGGGAGTAATAGTCAGGAGACAAATCTTGCTTTTAGATACAAAGAACAGGAAGCTTCGGGAAGCCAACTGAACCTATGTCCACAAGGAACATGCCACATAAAAGATACACTATATATTAGATGATTGCAAAAGTTTTTATTTTTAAAGCGCTTGTTACTTCTCCACCCGACTAAAAATTGTTGCGTACTTCCTTTGAAGTAGGTGATTACTGTTTGTTCAGGTCAAAAAGCAAGATTTTAAATGCTAGATTTCAAAACTGGCGGACTGTTGTCACATGAAAAAAATGATATAATACTACTTTAATCCCGTTTCCCAGCATTTTTATATCATATTTATCTAATGGGAAACGATATGTGAATCTCATCGTCCACAACAATAACTCAATTGCAAGATCTAAATTAAAAAGAACTAATATTATTTACGAATTCATAAATAATTATATTGGATATACTACAACATACTTAACAAGAAGACTCACGTTATATTTCTCTGACCATAGCTTAATTAGGTCTCGTTTAAATACACACGGAGACATACCAAAGTCCATTTGCAACGTACTCATTGACAATACAAATGTAATAACTTCATTCACATGCAAAAAAGGTTAAAACATAAAGGAGGCGCCATTAAGAAGAAAAAAAAAGAAAATGCCAACAATAAGATCAACCATGAACGCTGCTATAATAAATAATATTCAACCTGTACAAGGCTTTATAGTCATTCGCGGTAGAGGCATACAGATTAAGAGGTAAGGGACACAATTTATGAGGATACGTGAGGAACAGTTTCCGGTTCTAGTGATTGGAGACACTTCCTCTTGAGAGTCGGTTCCACAAGCTGTAAAAAGCTGTTCAAGTGGAACGTACAAGTGTCTTTCACTAAAATCTCTCTAAGTTACGGGTAATTTTTTTTCCATGTAAAAATGTGCTATTACTCGAAATTGAATCGTCGGCTTTGTCTCGTATCCAAAAATTTCATTTCTTCTTTGCTGATCGCTTCCTTTATGATGACGCTGATGATTAAGTAGACCAATTCTTACATGGAAGTTGCATGATAATGTTGATTGAGGACGAAGTTTATTTTGTTGAGTCTTTCTCTCTTGTCGTTTGACTTCTTCATTTTTTTCTTCTTCTGGTAACTTCGAACTTTTTGGTTCCGATGATGATGGAATACCACCAGTAGATACGGTCTCTGGATTGTGTTTTAAACGACTTAGAGTCAAGTTCAAATCGATTAGACAGCAATCATAATTTAAATATTTTCAATTTCAGGTTTTCTTGCCAACTGACGATTATTATGTATGGTTGATGGCAAAACTCTGGTACAACAATGCCGATGCTGCCTACCACCAATCTGCCCTCCATCTTGGTAAGTCAGTCTGTCTTCATTTTTAGATGATTTCATGTCGGGCTTTTTTTATTCTCATTTCCATAAACGTTGTTAAACAGCAATATATATATATATATATATATATATATATATATATATATATTTCGGGGAAAAAAATCCCTTTAAAAAAATGAAGATTGTGAGTGTGGGTTTCTCTATGTATGGTTAATAATCTCGTCTCATATATATATTTTGTCAGCCTAAACCTAGCAAATACCGGTATAGCGCCTGCTTGCTCGCAGATACACAACGATATAATCGATCTGTGTGCGTATCTAAGACTCGGTTCTGTAATTGGTGTTCGAATTTAGCTAAAGTCCAGGAATGTTGGTTTTTCAAGGCGGGTTGACTCGCCCCACTTAGAATATTGCCACAACGCCATCTTCCTTCCTCTACAATAACATTATGCCGTATTAAGCTAACATTCTCCAAATGTTTAACTCAGATCAGAATTAAAAATTAATAAATGTATTTATATTCCTAACTATAAAAAGTATTCAGAAAGAAAAAAAAACATCCGTTCGATGCTTCACTTCATAAGGAGAATGCGTTCTACTCTTGATGATTTGGTGAGGCTCTTAACTCTATAAAGATGAAAGGTCATATGTTAAAAAGGGTTCAAGATTTTAAAAAGTCAAGGCTCCTAAAATGGTGATTCCCGAAGCTATAGCTTATGTCTGAATCCGCTATTTTATTTTTTTAACGGTACTGACTGCCGAGCATACAATTTTATCCGGTGCGAATTCTATCTAAGCATAAAAAGTTAATTATAGTTATTTAGTTATAAGTCTTTATTTTTTTTCTTATGGAGTTTTAGAGCTGATTTGCTGGAAGAGATGGCTCGAAATTGCCGCGTTCAAAGCTGCAGACTTTGGAAAAGTTTTTTTTTCTCAAGATAGATTAGGCAGGTGTGCTTCTGGTATATATCTACAGATTCTTTATATAAGAATTACCTGGTATTTAGGCTTCACTCGCTTTCCCACTGCTGTAGCGTAGCTCTCTTGTACCTTTTCTAAAAAATATTTCTGTGGCAATTGTTCTGATGAGCATTCCTCAACTTCAGTAATTCAAGCTTTGTACCAGATTGGCAGTTCTGTCTCTTCATTGAACTGCTAGTTCTAATTTCTAGTCTAATTGTTTCTTTCGAAACGTGGAACTCTCTCCAAACTTGTAGCTTTTCCTGTCAACTACGATCTTCCAACATTTTAGATCCAACGCCAATCGCCATCTTCTGTCTTCTTGAAACCTGTTCTTTTATTGTCCTCTCTCACTTCAATGGCATTTTTTCAGATTCTTTCTCTTTCACTAACCCCTTGCAGCTTGGTGGCTTTATTGCCTTACCTGGGGTGAAATGATTAAAACAAAATTATATTGATCTCCATCCTGTCAAGAAAATGTTAGAAATGACGACTTACCAACGAACAAAAGTATTTTACGCTGATGATTGTTTTGAGAGGACCTGAAAGGCAAACAACAAAACTAGGTTGGATTTCGTGAAGGGTTTTGGTGGAAAATTCAGTTTAAGAATATCGGCAGTGTATTGACACGATGTTCCTTGCAAACAGCATTGGTTTTTACTGTGAGACACTTTTTATTAACACAACCAAATTTTAAGGTCGTGTCTTAATACATTCCGCAAGCCTTTATCATTCCTAATTTTTGTCATTCTAGAGATCATCTCTGATAATAATTCAGATATCATTTGTCTATTGTACACTCGCTTTGTTTCGAGTGGTGCAACGGATAGCGGCTCGAAATCAGAAATCGGCGAGCCGTTCGCATCCCAGTCGAGTTTCTTTACACTCACATTTGCACAAATTCCATTGGGAAGGTATGAATTCATGTCTCCCCCTCACTATAGGTTAAATAGAATTTCTGATGGGGCTTTTCATCCTTCATTGGCAACCAATCTAGGAGAAGGACAGATCTGAATTTAAAACCGTATGATGCCTTGATAAATGTATTTATGTTCTGAACTATAAAAAGGTATTCAGAAGAGAAAACATTCGTTGACTGTTCCACTCCGTAAGCAGAATGTATACTACTCTTGATGAGTTGATGAGGCTCTTAACAATATAAACATGCAAGTCAAAAATACTTAACATTAAAAAATCGAAGCCCCGAAGGATGCTGAATCCGAAGCTTTAGTTTATCTCATGCCTAAATCCGTATTTTTTACAGTATTTACATTAGTCGGACTATTGTCCTCATCTTTGTCGCCATATTTGTCACAACGTTTCGGCCGTTATCCACGTGGATAAAGGCCTTCTTCAGGTGGTTGGAATTTCAAAACTGAACCCTTTATTTCGATCAGTGGAGAACTTTCTAAGAGGGAAAATGGATGTCAGAGATAAGTTATCTCCTGCTAATTTTCCATCAAAGTTCTCCACTGTGGAACCAGAATTGAACTCACCTTCCTGTCACTGGATCGAAATAAAGGGTTCAGTTCGTGGATTCCAACCGTTGAAGAAGGCCGGAGCGTACAACGGCCGAAACGTTGTGAAAATATGGCGACAAAGATGAGGACAATAGTCCGACTAATGTAAATACTGTACATAAGATTTCATCTCAGAAATATAGACAAACTCCGTATTTTTTATTTTATTTTATTTTATTTTTTTAACTGTACTGACAGTCGAATCGCTGGTAGTCCCCATTCTCTTATATGAATGTGAAACCTGGAAACAGTTGGCAGTACAAATTGTACTGAGTACAATTATATGAGAAAAATCCTTCGCATCTTCTATTGGGAACCTAATGTGGCACCTTGCATTATTAGAAATATTCATAGAAATATGATTTAATTTTTTTACTCGGTTTATTAACCAGTCGTTAGATTTTTTTTTGGCGAAGAATAATTGAGCTTGAAAATAATTCACTAAGTTGTACTTAGACGATCCTAAAAGAAAAAGGAAAGAAGGGAAGAGAGAAAGAAGGGAAAGAGAGGAAGAGAGAAATACCAAAAAGCGGTCATTAACAAAAACACGTATCAGAAAGGTATGTAGGCCAACATCTGGCCGATTTTCAAGATACAATAAAAAAAATGTTATTTAGAAGGGAAAGTCATTTTGATAAGAATGTCGGTCGAAGCGCATGACCGACTTTTGCGTAGAAAGACTCATTATCAATTTAGAGAAAGGGAAATTTTAGAACAATGAGAACGAAATCTTAAATTGGAGAAAGGGAAATTTTAGAACAATGGGAACGAAATCTTAATCTGGAGAAAGGGAAATTTTAGAACAATGGGAACGAAATCTTAATCAGAGGAAAGGTGTATTTTGGGTTGAGGGGAGCGACCGGTGGAAATGTATACAGATTCTGACCTGTTAAGGATTGGAACCCCACGATGAGGAAGCAGAGAGATTTTCAATTCAGATAATTAAGATTTTTTAACTGTCAGGTCTGACAAAAACAAAGAGGTGAAAAAACGATTGTCTCGGCTCACAGATAGCGCCAATATTCTTTCCTGAAGTCACATCTAATTAGCGGCAGGCTGTTTTGACAGAGCCCAGGTGAGAAAAAGCCAAGATTATCATTTTTCGTACGTGCGAAAAAGGCCAAATTAGATTTTGTTTTTTTTTTAGAACAAGAACGATGTAAGCCACGCCCGATTTGAGATGGGAGGCGCCTCACCACGGTCTCATTAGCCGAAAGCGGTCACGTGATATGCGGAAAGAGGAGGAAGAATGCTCGATCAAGAACCATTGGTCGAAAACGGTCACGTGGCATGCGGGAAAGAGGAGGAGGAATGTTCGATCAGGAACCATTGGTCGAAAACGGTCACCTGACATGCGAGAGATCGGGAGAGATGGGTGTGCGTCCTCCCCTCCCCCAGAGGCACTATGAGGAAGTAGGGGTAAAAACAATAGCGATAATGGGAAATCAGAACTAATGCATTATCGAGAAACCCCTGACGCCGACAGACCCACCCCGGTTTGCTGCGGCGTCAATAAAAGCAGGACCCCAGTCGACAGAAATCAGTTGAGTTGAGAGTTTCGGCAGAGTTGCAGCAGGACCGCGGGCAGGGATAGAGCCTGAACGCGGGCATCAGATCCGGTCCATTCCTCCCTTACGGCAAGAAGTCCGTCCAGTCCAGTCGAAACAAGAGAATCCTAAGACAAGAGAACTTCCAGCCCAAGCAGACGAAGAAGAAGATTACTCGAAAGCCGCAGAGAAGTTGCACCCAAGTCGAAACAAGAAATCCTTCCAGCCCAAGTTGAAACAAGAAATCCTTCCAACCCAAGTCGAAGACAAGAGAAGTTCCATCTAAGTCGACGAAGAAGAAGAAACACAACTCAAGTCGAAGAGAAGAATCAACTGCGAATGATCGATAGAAATTAGCCCCAGTGTCGAACTAGACCACTCTCCGACATACACAATTCTAAAGAGTAGGCAATTCGAAATCTTTAGGTTGTGTGATAGAAGCTTGGTGCCATGGTCCACAGAGCGGGTCGGGAAATGAGAACAATTTTGTTTTTATGTAACGGACATTAGATATAAAAGGTTGTTACCCTTTTTTTTTATCAGCAATTTTTTGTCTCGTGAGTTTTTTTTTCTTTTACTTGTGTTTTGCCACCCCCGTCGGACTCAACTTGCATACGGCCCAGTCCCTGCTGGTCCCGTCTGTCTAAGATCTAAACACAACGGGGGTAGACAGACCGGAGATCAGTACAGTTGCTTTAGTGACCAGGTATTGGAAGCGAGTTGGGAAAGGCGAGGCTGGTGATCATCTAACCAAGGGGTTGGAGCGGCACGCTTGGACCCAGGAGGAGCGACCAGGAGGAGCGACCAGGAGGAGCGACGTCACCGTTGGCGCCGTAACCAAAGGATTCGACCCTGGGCCAGGTGTGTAACCGTCACACTAAAATCTATGAGTTTGTGCGGAAAAGGGTGGAGAGTTTTGTGAGCCAACAGCAACCTCTTCTCGCCATTGTCAAACGGAGAAAAATGGCGTGGTTTGGACACGTTACAAGGCAAGACAGCCTGTGAAAAACCATCATGCGTGACACCGTTGAAGGTGGACCTAGAAGAGGACGTCAACGCAAAACTGGTTAGACAATGTCAAACAATGGACAAGTATGACTATACCAGAATCGCTGATGGCTACTGTTGATAAACCGTTATGGAGGAGATTCAATGTGGTTTCTGCATTCAGATCCCCACCCCATACGATTGCAAAAGTCAAGGTAGAGATGATGATAACTGATAGTTGAGCATATAATCTTCTCCGAGAGCAATTCTGTTTAAGCATACTAGTGATCTGTTGGAAGAAATGGATCGAATGTGCAGTGTTCGGAGCTGCACACTTTAAGAATTTTTTTCTTCAAAATACTTTTGACAGGTGTTCTTCTGCTTTGTATCTACAGACAAAGATCCAAATAATCTGCAATGCTATAGCTCTTGGTTTGGCATTTCAATTGCACTCACTTTCCCATCATTATAGCGTAGATTCTCTGCACCTTTTCTATTAGTTTGAAACTGAAATTTTCATTACATGATGGTTGATAGATCTGATTTATGCTCAGCAATAAGTAAGATTTTATGGAAAATAAAATATATATATATTTTTAAGATAAATGCCTTTTTATGCAATGTTCCTTCAGAATTTAAGCAGTCAAGGCTCCGTACAGATTCTTTTGAATTGCTATGACAACTTTGGAAAAATAGTGGAGAAGTTCTCGTTACCTTCTCCATTGTTTTATAGTCCTCCTTCTAGACTGGCGTCCACCCAAAGCTAGAAATCTACTTAACCCATAGATCAGATAAGAAAAAATATTGATCCATTCTTTACCCAAGGACATTAGTGTGAAAGTGAACGCAACAGACATGTCAGAATTTGAACTCTGTATGCCGATTTCACTTTCTGCGCTGATAACGCCACACTTTAAAATTATATAAACCAAACCTTAATTAAAGATTGGGGAACATGACTCTATCATTTTTGGCTAGGGGGTGGGGAGATAATTTTTTTGCATATTTTCAATGACTTTTACATGCCTACTTTACTTTATTTACTAAGTAAAAGTAGTCTGGCACAAGACTTTAATGGGCATTTGTAAGGTTCGAAATTTCCAGTGTCACTATATTAATTCTTTCCAGAATTGAAAATTGTATTTGTATGCGTATAATAAAAGTTTCCAGTAAAAAATTCGTTTTACAAATGCTTATTCACTTTTCATTATTATTATTATTATTATTAAATAACTTGGAACATTTGCACAAACCATACAGTTTTCCTGGTGAAATCTCTCGTATACTATTTACGATAAAATACCTCATTTCCGTTTTGTTTAAAAAGTTGTTTCCGCGTATTCACTTTCTACCATCTATAATATTCTAGCTTTAAAACAAAATTACACAATTACTGCTATTTTATATTTATTTACTATATATATATATATATTTTTTTTTTTATTTAAAGGTTGGACACATCTCCTGATGGAAGGGGTTATTCTGGCCATGCACAGAAATATATCTGTTTCCCATCCGATCTTTAAGTTAATGGCTCCACACACACTTTTCCTAATGGCTATCAATTCGTAAGTCATTGTAATTCAAATCAAATCTTTTCGCCAAGCCTTTGTTTTAAATTTCCCATTTTTATTATTACACACTTTATCAGACAATCAGTTTTCAGTATGAGCGGGTTTCATTCACTTTCTCTTTCAGTCAACGCTGGGGAAAAGTAATCACGTTTAAACGAGAAAAGATGTATAAACAAATGCAACTTAAATTCAGTTAAATACTAGTGAAGAAGCCGTCTTTCAGACGGACTTTAGGCTAGCTTCTGCAGGGGATGTCTTTGGCTTTTACCTTCAGCGTTCTATGTTATAAGAATTTAGAAATGATAAAATTATTTTATCTTTATTCGACACCTTAATTCGGCATAATCTTTTTTCGTATACGCAACGGATCTCCGGAGTTTTTTTTACATTTATTTTGCGTGGATTTTTTCTTTTAAAATGACCATTCTTTAATATCTCTTTTAAAATGACCATTTTTTATGATCTCTTCACTATTATTGACTATTGAAAGACATTAGGGAACCTGAACTACGTAATATTTCGAATACGTCACAGTACGCGTGCTAAAAAAAGAAAATAAAACCTGAGCAACGTACCGTGCCCTACTTAAGTTTTAATTACGGTTTAATTAGACGATAGCAATTGCAATTGTGACGAAAAACAAAATTTAAGTTAAACCCTTAATACAGAATTGATTTTAAACCTTTCAATCTGTTCGATATTTAAATATAATTTTAAAAGTTATTTATTTAATTTTTAATGGCATGTAACTACAACAGTTACTACCTGTTACTTCAGGTTGTTTATAATACGCCGAGATCGACAAACGGACGGACACACATACACTGCGCTTTGTTTATATCGAAGATTATTATTTATAACATATGTAAACATCTTCATTTCCAACGCTTGCAGCTCAACGGGAAGAAGGGATTTTTTATTCCGTTCCGCGGTTAATGAAATCTGTTTTTCTCCGAAGAGTCTAGTTGTTTCAATCCACTTACACGTAAAAACCTTTAGGAGAGGTATAACTCCATCTATTCTCCCCTCGGCTATGAGTTAAATAGTAGATTTTTTTATCTCTAGAAATCTCTATCTCAAAAAATTATTAATGCAATATTAACTCGCCTAAATAAAATTGTTCTTACAATGCAAAATGTATTACGACTTTAAATAACAATTGTGACATAAAATTATGTTCTTTGTTGCATGTTAGCCTCGTGTGTCGCCTGTGTCTGCCTCGACCGGGGCTCTGACGAATACGTCTGCCTTGACCTGAGTTGCATTATTCTTTTCTGTTTCCTGTGTCATCTATACGTTGATTTATGGTGGTTCTTGCTGGTATACCTCTTGATTTTCCCTATTTCCATTATTAGGAGCTGAATTTATAAGTAACTAAAAAATTTCGTTAGAAACATATAAAACACTACGGAACAGTTACGTAATATCAATCTTTCTATGGAGCTGTGAATGCTGGACATTTAAAATGTTAGTTCGTGAATTTGATGAACAATAACTAAACAGTACTAAAAATAAGAAATGGGTAGTGGAACGAGTCTTTCCCCGTAGATTGAATAAAGTGTTCAGTTCAGAATTTCCTGTAGGCCAAAATGAAGATCGATATACACCTGAGTAAGGCCGGAGAGCACAACGGCCGAAACGTTGTGATAACAACAACAAAGGTGAAGACAATAGTCCAAATATAAGTAGTGTAAATAAGTTTTTTTATCTTGTCAAGGTTCATGATGAACAGAAACAAGTCACTGTGTCTCCTTGTAAGCTGACATTTTTAAAAACATCTGTATCTCTATCTGGTGATAGAATTTGTGTTACACTATCAATAGTCGAGGCTAATTTAGTATTTTCATGGGCTATAATAGTCCGAATATAAATAGTGTAAATAAGCTTTATTACTTTGTCAAGAAAATAGGCGCTAAAAAACTAATAGTAAATAATACGTAGACTCTGATGGAAAAAAAAATTTAAACAAAATTTCTAACATGCTAGAAAGAATTAAAAATTTAATAAAATAATCAAAAAATACTTTTGACGTTCCTTTTAATAATAATATAAACATTTTGACGATAAAACTTTATTTTCATTAATTTTGAGGCTTTTTCCCTCGTGCTATTCTCTTTTTTAGTGTTAGTGTGGGTAGGTACAATAGTTGATTTCAGCATACCTTATTTTTTCTGAATGTTGCCCATCCAATGCTTATTCGGTTATTATTTTTTCCGGTAGTTTCCAGATTGTTCTTGAAAGATAATTTGTAACCAAAATATACAAAATTTAATAATTTTATTATTATTTTTTTATTTTTTGAATATCAATTTGTAGTTTTATTTTGCTGTCATTGAAACAGACTTCATTTAAGACTTATTTCATTTTCGTAGTTGAAAAGAGATTTCAAAATGATGTGACTTAACCGGAATATAACTTTTGTTTACAAAGTGTTACTAAAATGTTCGGCGATTTTGAACACTGCGTTCAAATCTTATCTGTTAAGGACTTCTTGATTTTAACCAAATGAAAAAAATACAATATTCAATGATTCTTCTTCTTACTACTTCTGTTTGGGTGACATCATTTTTTTTTAAGCATTTCACCCCAAACAAGGCAGGAAGCCACTAGCACGCAAGGGGTCACAGAGAGTTGGAGCTAGAGTAAATAGGAGTGATAGAGGAAAGGATGAACAGAAGGATAGGGGATAGATCAGGGCATCTGGAGATTTGAATAGATTATAGCTATCAGGGAAACAGGAAGAGGGAAGGAGTTCCACTGACGAGAGGTGCGAGACATGAAGCTATTGGAGTAGAAGAGACGGCTACATTTAACAGTTTCGACAGTGAAAGAGTGTAAGCCAGATGCCAGCCTAGTTGAACGCTTAAATTCATGAAGTTTGAGAACCAGCGAAAGCAGCTTCTTGGAGCAGTTACTATGAAAGTATTTGTAAAAAAGACAGAGGGAGGCAACGGCACGTCTGTGAGAGAGCGACTGCAGACGAGATGACAGATCAAGGCCAATTACACTGCATATTCGTCTCTGGATCTTATCAAGAACCTTGAGAAAAACATAAGGGGCACCAGACCATATATGGCATCAATACTCCATGCAAGGGCGAAGGGTTGATTTGTAGATTTGAAGGATCGATTCCGGCGAGAAAAATTTCCATTTCTCGCCGGAGTCGACATTCCTGTGTAGCTAATCATTATTTCATTGATTCCTTTTCTATAACTTATCAACCTTTTTAGATTATTTATTAAAGTTAGAAAATAATTTTAGGTTGTAAGAATTTTGGGGGCGGTGGGGGGTAAAATAATCTACTGATACAACTCATTAATTTTCCTGTTTTCCTTGTTCTTAAAACACATCCAGTAATAGCAGACATCTTTTGGTTGGTTTGAACACTTAAAAATTCTGAAAATTCCCTGCTTACCTGGCTATCTTTCGTTGAGTCATCTTCCCCTTCAAAGTCACAACCTTCAACTTTGGTATCAGTAAGTTAATGTTCTACTACAATGATTTGTCAAAGTACCTTACACTCTTTTTAATAAGACTTAACAATTCATACTTAGAAATTTGCATATTATCATGATCTTTATCATTTGGCCTTTTTTCAGCTTCAAGCTATGGCTTATCAATCTTTTGTTATACGGTACCTTCAAAAACGCAATTTGTTTTCCAATCGTCAAAATCCACGGAAACTACTAATAAAAGCATACTGCTCAACAATCTTAACCTCTAAATAAAATAAAGGTGTATAATCATTTTATGTGGTTGGCTCAAAACTTTTGCACAACACAGGAAACAGATAAGTAAGAATATTCTTTAATATAATAGTTTTAGATTATAAGAATGTTTTTTGCATTTTTTAGATAATAATTTACCGCTACAAGTCCTACTAATTAATCCATAGCTGGGGTGGAAGAAGAGGTGGATTCATACCTGATCAGAATTTCATAAATGAATAAGAAATTATAATTTGAATAAAAGTGGGGTATCAATTTTATTTTACGGACAATATATGGACTGATCCCTCACTTTGTGGTCACGGTAGTTTATATACATTTACATTTCAGAAAATTTAAACAAATCTAAAAGACATGCCTGTATAGCTAATCAGCATTTCATTAACTGATTCGTTTTCTATGACTTATCAACCTTTTGAAGATTATTTAAAGTCAGAAAATAATTTTAGATTGTAAGAATTTTTTGTGGGGATAGATTTGGGGGATAATGGTTTACTGATACAACTCATTAATTAATCCATATCTGGGGGAGAAGAGGTGCATTCATACCTTTCCCAAAGATATTTGCGTGTTAGTGACTATAACGAATGCAACTGAAACCCAGCTCTTCTATTCCAATTCCGAGCCATTATCCATTATATCACACGTACATCAAAGCTTACAGTACCAGATATTCGCAAACCGTCACCCAAGTATTGATCAAACTCGACGTTGCAAACTCGAGAACTGCAGTTTTCAACGTGATATGGCCGTAAGCCATGTAGTAAAAAACAGAACCAGTGAATAAATTTATACCAAAGCTTTATTGCACTTTAATCTGACTACTCATCTACTGACGGATGAACAGGTTGCTTTTTATACCCACTAGATCTTAAGGGGAGGTAACTGATGATTTATAAGTACATTCTTTCCTACGAATTTTATTCATAAGAAAGAAAATCTCTTAGGTTTCCAGGCTCTTTACAGATTTTCTGCGAACGCCTGGGTCGTTTTTGTATTGGACTATTTGAGCTGGAAGATCTCTCATTTTTTGCTCCCCGTTAGTCCCGGAATGGAAGTATCTCGTCCTTCTTAATGGACGAAGCTAATCTGAGTCTGAATGTGGATCTTCCGAATCTGTTTCTGAATGCACCCGCTTCTGGGACATTGGTCGCTCATCAGGATCGTCTGTAGTTGTCAGGATCTTGGATGTTAATCCCTCTGAAATGTCTGATGGAGGCGCAACGGAAGCTGTCATCATCATCCTGGGGTAATGTGTCGGGAGTGAATCCGACACGGTGATCTCCCGATTGGTTTTCTGTATCAAAGAGATCAGATCTTCTCATTAGGGTGGTTTTAGGACCAGCAGAAGCCAGATCTCTAAGAGAGATGATAGTTTGCCTTCCATCCGGGTGTCACACGAGTGTGTATTGTGGGTTTGCTTCTATTATTTCTACCTTGTCTACCAGGAGCGGGGTCATGTTTGGTATAGCGACTGTGGCGTCTCAGTAGAACCGTACATGGTTGAGAGAGCCAAGTGGGAAGCTAAGTCCCAGCCGAACTCCGTCCTTGGAATGGTAGAAATCTTTCGTGTGGGGTGGCATTGGTGGTCGTACATAATATCAATCTAATGGCATACAGGGCTACTGGAAGGAGAGTTTCCCAATTATTTATTGAGCATTTGTGTGCTGAAGCAGCCAATTGAATTGTTTTCCAAATTAAGCCGCATTGACCGTTACCCTGGGGGCTGTATGGGGTTGTCCGACTTACCGCCACACTGCGTTCTTGTAAGAATTGCCGAAGCTGATCGGACATGAAAGAAACTACTCGATCTGAATGTATATATGCCGGTACTCCAAAGACAGCAAATAAGGAATAAAGGCAATTTATAATTGTTATAGCAGTCATATCTGGACAGGGAAAAGCAAAAGGAAACTGTGAATATTCGTCTACAACAGTTAGCATGTATCGGTTTCGTGTTTTGGATGGTAACGAGCCTTTAAAGTACAGATTGAGTCTTTCAAATGGCCGCGTTGCTTTTATTAGCAATTTAGGTTTTTCTCAGCACACGTTCTGCAGGAATTTGTAATTTTCCTAACGTCTTCCAGTGAATAAGGCGAATTCCTACTCCTTATCATGTGAACCATCCGTGTTATGCCCAGGTGGCGCAGTTCCTCGTGTAGTGTCTGATTTTTAGTCTGTAATTAATTTGAAGTGATGTCCGATTAAATAATGTGAACCGGTTAATTGTCTAAGAGTAATCGATAACCACCCTTTTTTTTGGGTGGGGGTCTGTGTTTGTTATTAATACTTGGACCTGCCATGGTGACGTACTTTGCTCAATTATTCCTTCTTGAAGCATTCTTTTTATTTCGTAACCTGTAAATCGTTTGTCGTCATTCAAATAACGTCGGCTCTTAATAGCTATTGGCTTTGTCATGTATTCAAAAAGTGAGGTGTACGGAATGTTGGCCGCAGTCAGTCCGAAAATCTTTAATACAGGTTTATCTCCGCCAAAACAGATTTCTATGCTAGAGTGTTTACTGAAAAAAATCGTGGCCCAGTAATACGTCACAAAAAAATGTCCTTCATTGTCGATAACTTAACCGCTTTATATGAGATGCCGTTATAATGTAGGTCGGCCAAAGAATATCCACTTACGTGTGATGACAAAGCTGCGTTCAGCATTGTTACTCTTTTGTGGGAGGGAACATAATGCAATTTGTGAATCTTTACTAGACTGTCTTTGATATATTTTCCGAAATTCCAGTGTCTAATGAGTTGGTGAGGACTCGGTTAATTTTCATTTTTATAATAGTTTTTGAAAGACAGTCAGGGAACACGGTCAATGTTGCAGAAAATGATAACGAACTGACAGGACGGCTAGCTTTTGTATTCATTTTGGCCGCATATAAAGTTCCATTGTAAGTGCAATAAATTGTAGTAAAAATAGAACCCGTGAGTAAACTTATACCAAAGCTTTATTGCACTTTACTCTGACAACTCGTCTACTGACGGATATTACAGGGTGGTTTTTATACCTTCTAGATGTTAAGGGGAGGTAGCTGATGATTTATCAGTACAAGCCCTATTTTAACTTTGACATTTTGTAAATAAGAATATGCTTCATCAGGTGGTATAAGCATTTTTTGGTCGTGGAGAGGTTGCATAAGTGGAATCAATTTACAATGAATTTGCATGGCAATGCTTTAAATTTAAAAAAGATATATTTGCGATCTGGAAGATGTAATCGATAGTTATATGAAAAAGAAATTCTTTGGAGGTGTATTTATTTAGAAAGCATCAAAATTATTTTTTCTTTCTGTTTTTTTTTTTTTTTTTTTTTTCAGGAGAGGTCTGAGTAAATTAGTATCGGAAGGAGGCTGGGTTGACGAAACGATGGCCATTGGCGTCAAAGGGGTGTATGACTTGATAGGGCGATGGTAAGTTTTCTCTTATATTAATTCTTTTATTAAAGGCCTCACTTCTCTGTTAACCTTTCCAATTTTTTTAAATTCAGTCCTCACAATGATGTTGACATTCTACACTAATTCAAACAAAAGGCTAGGAAGAAAACTGCCATCTATACTGGAAAGAGCAATAATAATTACTGGATTTGAGAAACCTATTTTCCTGAAAAATTGTTTTAAGAAAAATATTTTATAAATTTCAATCAAAAGTAGCATTGGTTTCTCGGCCAGTCAATGTCGAGTGTTTCTTTATTTATATCTGAAACAGCTAATACCATTCTCATACAGTATAAAGATTGCCCAGTGTCTATAACACTGCAAAAATCGTAAGTGACGACCCAAACATATACCACCAGGAGATAATCAACATTATCTTCACAGTAAAAAGCGTAATATCAGCTACTGCATGTAGAGACAAGTGACGGAAAAAGATCGAAAAATTCCTACAGTCAGTCTCCCTTTCGTCATGAGTGTGTTGGATTACGGTGAGTTAATAATGCACTTAGTGTTTTGTAAAAGATTCGTTTTGTATTCATATAATCTTTTTTCCAACTTCTTTAATTTTCCCTTTTGTATTCTATGTGGCAACATTTATATGACAGAATAAAGTCTTCCAAGTTTTAACCGAATATTATTTTGTTTTGGATTAATTAAGTCTTTTATTGTTTTAGAAGTAGTTGTGTCAAATTTTACGTTAAACTTAGATAACAATTTTCAATTGTAGTTGTGATAGAATTGGTAGTTAAAAGAAGACATTTTGACTTTTGGATTTATGAGAATAATCTACTCTTTTATTTTGAAATATTTCATCAGACTTTTGTTTCACATCAAACGAAAGAAATTTTCCACTTTGTCATAGATTTTCATATATATATATATATATATATATATATATATATATATATATATATATATATATATATCATAAACATAAACATTAAACATAAAAATGTCTTTAATAAATAAATTGTCGGACCTTGTCCATTTCTTAATATATGACGTCATTTGTTTACATTTGATACGCCAGAGCAGTTATGAATGTACGAGATTCATGGAAGATTGAAGTTTATAAGCAGTAAATTCGACCTTGTCTACCGAACGGTTCTTTGTGGCCGAGCGGTCAAGGCACGTCAGCGTAAATGACGGTTCCGTATAGGATGCAGGTTTGAATCCTGTCAAAGAACGAATATTTTCTATGAAAATTTCTCGGACATTCAGGCCGGTAAATGTTATTTAATACTGTTTATCATAAACAGAGCATTTGTTTAAATACTTGTATCTACAAAAACAACGTTAAACATAAAAATGTATTTAATATATATATATATATATATATATATATATATATATATATATATATATATATATTCCTACGTTCGAAGTGTAACTTAAAGTTTTGTAGTTCTATCAACTCATAGTTTGTGGTGCCACGGATCTTGTCTCAGCAACGGGACGATAAACAGCAGCAAAGGTTGGATGACTCTTCTGCCTTCGATCTGGATACGCTGTCTGAATATTCTGCCATTGTTAAACGGAACACTTCTCAGTTAACTCACTTCTACACACGTTAAACGTTGAAGACAGTCTAGACACAAATGTACACGAATGACAAATGTAACTGGGTCTACGTTACAACACTACCATAAGCTTGCTTTATACTTAACTAGCAGTAGAGCCCTGCGTTGCCCGGGGATGTAAGAGTAAGAGATAGATCAAGTATCGACCATCATAAAGACTGAAAAATAAAATTGACAAGTATTGTTTAAGGTTGACGGACACGCATGTCTTAATTAGTTTTTTGTTTTTTTTTTTTTTTTTTTTTTTTTTTTTTTAAATAGTGGTCAAACCTAAACTCAAGCAAAAACATTGTTTTCAATCGTTATGGATTTACCAATTGAATAGAATTTTATTATAAACAATTGTCTTGTAAATGGAATTTTTAAAGCATTCTGAATGTAAAAATAAAGAAAAAAGTGTGCAAGACAATAAGAAACACTACCTTCCAAAAAAAAGAAGTGAAGTTTTGTTGAAATCGGTTGAAAAATGTAGGAAATCCGATCCCATATATAAACGAACACAAACACACAAACAACATGGGTTTTATAATAAATATAACTCGATATGAGTTGTCCCCCTTTCATTCTCGTGATGCCTCTTAATCGTGTTTTCAAATTGATTTCGTGCAAAAACAATTGTGCTTTTCCAGTTTTGGGCACAGTCAGAACCACCGCAAGGTAATTTTACGTAGTCCTGTGAAGTTTTGTTGAAATCGGTTGAAAAATGTAGGAATCCGATCCAATATAAAAACGTACAGACACACACACACACACACACACACACACACACGCACACACACACACACAATCTGCGTTTTATAATAAGTAAGATGATCTAACAAATCTTATTCATTTAGTAGACTTTCTGTAATCTTTTACAATTTATGATTTTTACTTATTGAATACAGTAAAAAAAAATTGGACACCATGTGTATTTAAAATAGTTTCCGGTTATTATTTTTAGTTAGGAGGACTTATGTGTGTTTAGATTTCATTTGTTTATTTTTTGTGTATCGTTCTCTGAAAAAAAAAAACGCTGAGTCACCGGAAGTTAACGGCTTTCGGAAGTTTGAGTAGCCGGCAGTAACTTCCGGTCGGGTGCGATATACTTAACCGTGCTTTCAAATTGATTTCGTGCAAAACAATTGTGTTTTTCCAATTTTTGGTGCTGTCAGAACCATCGCAAGTTAATTTTACGTAGTCCTGTGAAGTTTTGTTGAAATCGGTTGAAAAATGTAGGAAATCCGATCCAATATATAAACGTACACACACACACACATACACACACACACAATCTGCGTTTTATAATAAGTAAGATTACTCAAAAACGAAGGATTTGAGGACATAAATTTATATGGACATTTGCTCTTGTTTTATTGTCAAGAATCCACCTCCAGTGTTTGTGAAAGCATTTTTGATACAACCTGTATGTATACTATTAATAACAAATATACAATTTTTCTCGCAATTTTGTACAACTCATTCACGAAAAAATATTCAGATGCTGGTTGAAAATCTTGAAGATTAGTTTATACCGAAGAATATCTGATAGAAACTAGAATGGCGGAACAGTAATCAGCAAGTTTCTATTTTTCCCAAAATGTGCCAGAAAGGCCAGGTAACAATGCCGTAACACTGCAGTAACGAAAGCATTAAGTCTTTCGTCTACTTAGTGGATGTAGAATCTCACTTGTAACGCTATTTCCTAATGAATGTAGCAGCTGTATATTTCCAACGAACTCTATGACCAGTGTTCGATCCCAATCGAAAGCCAAAATTTCAAATACGGATTTTTTAAACACAGTTCATATTCTTGGCCTTTAAACTGAAATGTCCCTTAATTTAATAAAACCTATTTATTTTTATAGGACCTAGCAAGCTGACTGCAGGATTTTTATTGTAGTAATTTCAATAGAAATACCTATAAAACCATAAAAATTATATATATATATATATATATATATATATATATATAGCATAATGAGAAGCCACGTATACTTTCTTAATATGTATATATAGAAAACGTTTCAAATTAAAAATTATAATGTTTTATTTTATGAAAGTATTTATTTATTTATATATATATTTAATATTTCAAATTGTCCTCAATTTTTCATCAGAAATAACTGTTTGTTACAAATAAATTAAAATTACTGTTTGTTAGCACAAGCGTCCTTCGCGAGACGCGGACGTCACGTGACATGGAACGTCACTGTTCGGATATTCCTAACTTAAATCTATATATATATATATATATAGTTTTCTTATGCTATCTTAACGTTTTGTCAGTACGAAAATCATGAAAACCTTACAACGTATATTGCTAATATATTTCATTCTCGTCTTTTTCCTATTTAGCCAAAAAATATGGCGGTTTGATTTACAGGGAACACCGCCAGCGGAATTTAAATCAAGAAATGTAAGTACAATATCTGTCTATATTTCTGAGATGAGGTATTTTAATTATTTACACTATCAGCATTGTTCTGACTGTTGTCCTCATTTTTGTTGCAATCTTCACGATGTTTCGGTCGTTGTACTTCTTCAGGTGATTGGAATTTCTAACTGAACCCTATATTTCGTCCACCGGGGTAGATTGTTCTAGTTCCACGTGCCATGCCTCTTCCGGATGTCTCAGAATCAGTTATCTTCATTTAACTCAACTCTACAAGTTTTTTTTTCTCTCCGCTGTAGCCAAGTATTGAACTCACAACTCTTTGAGCCAAGTCACTGGATTCAACCAATGCTTTTATCTACTGGGTCATGTGTCCTTGGAGAACATCTCAACAAAGATAAGGACAACAGTTCGAACAATGTAAATAATGTAACTACATTTCAACTGTAAGTGTAATCACTAATAACTAAAAAGTGAAAAATCCTCTTTGATCAATGTTACTGCTCTCGTAACTTGATGTGATTCTGCACGACTGATCTCATCACAAACGGACTCCATTTCTGACGATAAGAGTGGGGAAGAGGAAAAGGGATAGTTTCATACTGTCTGTTCACTGCTTTACCTGTTATCTCTTCCTACCGGTCGCAAACTTGTCGTCTTTGCTCCAGTGACTGATGGCCAACGCAATCTTTGTTATACCAGCGACGACTGAGCCGGCGACATCATTGGTATTTTGCCGTTCATGCAGCGTGATTTAGGCGGGAATAGCCTGGTGGAGATGAAACCTCTCCAGGCTTGAGTACTGTCGAATTCCTCTCACCAGATGGTTTGCGTTGATTATGAATATGTGGTCCTTGTAGCTTACCTTGACTCTTTTCCCACTTGTTGGTGCCTCTGACATGGAAGTCATACGCCCACCGATGTCACATTAACATTGTCACACGAAAGATAATTCTGGGTTACATGATATCAGTAAGAAGAAAAATCCATAACTTGGCTATAATTTATTCGCTATCTTATTCAACCTTATTGAAGAGAAACTTATTTTTTTTTTCTTACGCCATACAAGTCTAAATATACGTGAGGGGAAACAATCCAATAATTGGACACATAAGAATTTAGATTCTTCCCCTTATCGCTATTTCTTGAATACCTTGGTGGATGTAGGAATTCTAAATTTACAGCCGATCGCTATGATCCATGCTCGATCCCAAGTAAAAACCAAGATTCCAAATGTTGACTTTCTTTTTCAAAACAGTTCGATTCGCAAACTTCCTCATAGCATGCAACGTTTATGCCATATAAAAATAGTATTAGTAAATATCCATATAATATTTATGCTCACGGTGACATCACGTCACGTTGAAACACTGCTTCCAGTAAAATCACCTAAGTTAAGCACCGTTGAATATGGTCAGTACCTAGATGGGTGACAAATAAAGAATACAACCTTAGTGGTGTGGTTAGTTGTTATAATGCTCGTATAAGCTCGTAGTTTCTGATTAATAATATTGTAAGGAAAACACTGGAACAAAAGATTAGTGAAGAAAAGATTTAATTACTCAAGGAACACCTTGACCCGTCTATCCCCTCCTCTGATCTCTCGGTCCCCGGCTACCTCCCTCTCCTTAGAAAAAACTCTCAAACCCACATGCACGGCCTTGGTGTTTACGTCAAGGACCATCTTCCACTGGCTAGAGACTATTCGTACTTGTGTCTCCGCTATCTTTTCTCAATGCTGTAAGCTATCTCTTCTTCCTTTATCGCTCTCCATCCTCTCAAGACTGCGGAATAATCGATAGCATTTCTGACAGCATAGACAAGGTTCTCTCTCTTTTCTCTCTCTCCTTCCGTTTGCTAAACATATTAGTGTTTGGTGATTTTAACGCTCATCATACCAAATGGCTTAAGAATGCTACTACTGACCTTTGCAAGCATTCAAATACTTTTTTTTTCAGTTTCTCAATCCCTCACACAGATAGTTGACTTCCCCACGCATTTTGCCTACAACCGGGACTAGTAAAGGCCTCTCTTCTGGATCTGTGTTTTACCTCCACCCCGAATCTTGTAGTGCCTCGCAGCTCTGCCCTCTCGGTAACTCCGGTCATGCTGTAGTGTCTCTAAACATCTCCTTCAACTCCACCCCTGCAAAGAACCTCCTACCTCTAGAACCTCGTTCTGCTGTCAACGAGCTGACTGGGACTCGTTCCGTGATGTCCTCCGCGATGTTCCCTGGGATGTTGTTTTTTACGCTCCCCATTCAAGAATGTGCTTGAATTGAAGTCAAAACTCCTGGGTCAATCGACGCTTTCATCCCCTCAAGAAAATTTAAGGTCAAATCGCGCTCCCCCCACCTTGGTTCTCTGCTGCTTGCTCAGCCGCCATTGCCCATAGGAACCACTTCTTCCACCTCTGTCGTAGCGACATGTCCGACTGCAATAGATGACTCTTTGCCTCTGCCTGAAACGAATGTAAGCGTGTCCTCAACGAAGCTAAGTCGCTATTTGCTGCTCGAATGAAGGAACGTATTGCATCTTGCAAATTCGGCTCCAAGGATTATTGGCGTCTCTGCAAGAGCGTACTAAACATTAGCTTAGTACTAAACCCTCTATACCTCCATTGTTCAACCAGGTCCTGACCTCTTCTACCGACAAGGCTGAATGCTTTGCTCGGAAATTTTCATTCAATTCAACGCTCGACTCTTCCGGTGTACCCATACCCGATTTCCATCCTAGAACTGAGGCCCTATTGAGTGAGTTGTACATAACCCCGTCATTGGTATTGGGAATTATCTCCAATTTAGACCCCCTATCAAGCTCTTCAGAATAACGAAGAAGCTCTATAACCCTTTGCGTGCTAGTGGCTTCCCGCATTGCTAGAGGTGCAATGCTTAAAAAAAACTAAAAATAATACAAAAATAGTGAATAGTTCTGTGCGGCAATGCGCATGACTCAGCGCTACGCCACTTTGATGATCCTTTTCCGATGAGAAGACGTCCTATTCATAGCGAATGGACGAGTATGTTCAACAATTAGTGTAGAAATGGTCGGACGTTTTTCTATACAATAGTAGTGTAATGGGTTCGAAATAGTCGAGTTCTAATTCCCATTGGGTTCGTTATATTTATTTAGGCGCAAACACCCTTCGGTCAGATATCGATCAACCGCTTCTCCACCCCCGCATCTTGTATCACTAAACCATTATTATCGCAAAAAATTCTTACAATCTAAAAATATTTCGGGTGTTGTAAATAATCTGCAGAAGGTTGATAAGCTGAAGAAAACGACAATCCTATAATATTTAGATAATATGACTGAATCACGGTCGACAATATGTGTATCTCCTCACTGGTTTAAGCCCAGGTAAAAAAAATCCTGCTTTTCGAATGTTCGATTTCTAGAGCAAACAGCTTTTCCAGTAATACAATTCTCAATCAAGTGAATGACTACAAATCTCCGACCTCTTATATTTTATCTTCTGAAAAGGTTTTTAATGTCAATAAAGACATGGCTTGGGCTGCCTTGAATGACATGGCTAAGATCTTGATCTCTGTCCGGAGAGTTGAGCTTAACCACTTTCCCGGCGTAAACGTGTATATACGTTTTTACACGTTTAAAACACAGCGTTCAAAAAACAGCTACAAATGTGTTTATACGTCGATCTTGATCCTTTTTATGCCTTTCTGAGCTTCAAACGAGTCTAATTGTCAGCTCAAATGTCTAGTAGAGGTTTTAGCCAACGTCCAGGTAGTTCAAGGCGCCTTAGTTTCTATATTAAAAACAAAGTTTTAAAATCGTCTGAAAATGAAAGGTTTTTCTAAAGATAACTGTCGGGGAAGGGGTTAAGGTAAAAACATTTATAACGATAATTGAGTCAACTCTTGTATCGATCTGAAACATGAACAATGTCAGCCATTCACGAGTTAAGATTGCATGGGACCTATACATGAATTCAACGACGAGTTAAAACAAAAAGTCTTTGCTGGAAATAATATTCTACAAGAGAGATAAACTATGGCAACTTATATCTTACCCAAGATGCCAGGTCAGGTCCGATAACATGATAGCTCAAGATTCTTGACAAAATCCAAACAAGCGTCTGTAATATAATAGATCCTGACTAATTGAAATAATTGTTTTAATGAGCTTTCCTCTTTGGTACCGCGACCTCCTGAATTTAAGCGTGCTACTAGATTGACAACTAGATCTGATCATTTTACTGTAGAAATAGCCAGATATAACCGTAAGTTCTATACTAATAGTTCCTTCTCTCGCGCTTCTCGCCTGTAGAACTCTCTTCCTGCTTCTTGTCTTGTCTCCTCCGTAGTGTGAATTACAATTCTACCATTTGTCCGTGAATTGAATAATAATGCAATATCTCGCTCAAGATTTTTGACAAAACCCAAAGAGTCTGTAATGTTATCGGTCCTGAACTGGCATCTTGGCTTCCGTCACATACCCATCGCCATAACTGAGCTTCCCAGTGTCTTTTCTATGAATATCTTCATAATAATTGTTTTAATGAGATTTCCTCTTTGTACCCCGACCTCGTGAATTTAAGCATACTACGAGATGTGCATCTAGAACTCATCATTTTACTGTTGAAATTGCTAGATGTAACCGTAAGTCCTATTCTAATAGATTCTTCTCTAGCACTTATTGCCTGTGGAACTCTTTTTCTACTTCTTGCTTTCTTGTCACCCACAATCTCCACAAATTTAAATGCAATATCAATCGATATTTTTTGTATTTCTTAACTCTTTCAGTGTCCTTGCTTCTAACTTTTTTTTTCTTATTTTCTTTCAATCTCAGTAATCCCTGACGTCTTAGTGGCATTATAGCCTTGCTTGAGGTAAAATGATTTTAAAAAGAGTCTAGTTCGCGGGCTACTACCACAGAAGAAAGAATATCATTTCATCACTTATCATCTAGAGGCCTCAATAGTGTTCATTCAGTACAAAGCCCAAGAGTCATTCAAAGTTGGGGATTACTGAATGAATATGAAGTGTATATGACATGGCGAGTCTTAGCTGTGAAGGTTAGAGTTGGTGGAAGTAAATGTAGCTCGACAGAGCATTCTCCATGGAAATAGCGATAGATTAACGAGAGGCTTGCGACTTTTTTTTGTAGGGAAAGGGGTTGTAGGATGGAAAATAATTCATCACCTAGAAGGCGGCGGATACGCTTTTGAACCCTAACAAAACTGAAAGGTGAAAATTACACAGAACCCTTCAAGATATGGTTGCAGTAGGCCATTTTTTGGCCTGATCTGGCTCTTGTAAAGAAAGAACATATTAGGAGGTGTCGGATACTTACTGGAATGGTAAAAGGAAAAGGCCATATTTCCATCATCTTTTGCAATGAATTGTATATATTTGGTTGGTCAGGAAGTCCTGACTCACTTAGGAAGCGGAAAAAATAGTTTATGGAGGTACACCAACATTAATTCTTCAAAATAAAGTCCCTCATTCACGACGATCTTCTACTTCTTCAGCCAGCATCCGAATCTATCACAGATACCAGTCCGCTGGCGTTAAATTAAGAAAAAACAAACTGTAAACAAGCTTCTTTCACTTCATTAAAACTGTTAAATCTCTGGTCATGGAGGAAATGTACCACTGAGCAGAATAAGCCATAATCACTCCGGGCAGCATCGGGAAAGAAATTGTTTGATGTGGAAGATTCTCAACACCTTCCATCTGGTTGAACTTCTCGTCATTCAACCTGGCAGTGTGCAGCCTCACATGAACTGACCTATGCAGGATACTTCTTTAGTTTGTCGGATACGCGGTCTAGCTGCTTGAAGTACAGTTTAGAGTTGATGGCACGACCATGTGGAACAAGCTGGAAATGCAATACTCTTTGTTGTTTTCTTTCTGCTTCCGAAGTGGCTCAGTACTTTCTGGCCAAACTAATATGACTTCTACAATAGGAGTTCAAGACAAGAACACTCTTTGGGAGTACACCCGTTCATCGCACTAAGCAAAAATTCAGGGTCTTGATTACTAGCATGGTATTGTGGGCCCTGCGATCTGGACTGAAGTCGAAGAATCATGCTACCCCAATTTCATATATCTCTTCATATTTAGTCTCAGCATTTTATAATTTCAGTTTAATGTCCCTCTTCTTAGATATATGTCGAAAGAATGTCATACAATGTATTGCTTAAAAATTATTGATGATTGTTTATTTTTCTTTAATTTGTTAACAGGTTGAAGATCCAAAAGTCCTTCCCAATTACCATTTCAGAGACGATTCATTGCTCATCTACGATATTATCCACACTTACGTGACAAACTATGTACACATTTACTATGGTAAGAACTTGTTCATTCTTTATTACAAATGATTTTTATTAAATATAAGAAACCTATTAAAGAAACGATCCTAAAGCACATCTAATGCATTTTCAGTGCATAAGACCCCAAAAGGGGCTACATCATCCTCTTTTGTATAAGATCTAAATAATAAGGTAAGAGTACCCATTGTGAAGAAAACGGTTTTATTTTAATAACAGTATGTATCAGCCAGGTCAAGCCGAAAATGGAGTGCCATATTTGGGCAGGAGCTTTTGATTTAAATTCTCTGTCTTGATAGAATTCAAAAGCGTCTCCGAATACTTTTAGAGAAGAATTATTCCCCACCCTCAATCTCTCTCTCTCTCACACACACACACACACACACACACACACAAACACAGGCGGTATGTGGCGAGTCTTTCAATTTCTCTATCACTATTACTATTGAAAGTGCTCAGGCGAGCTTCATTTCTTGGTTCCGCCGGGTCTAACCTTCACGGCTAGAACCCACCATGCCGAGAAATAAGTTCCACTCAAACAGCTTCTTCGCACAATCAGACTCCCAAGAGGATTTTTTCCCGATCACTACAAGCTTAACTAGTTCAAGTCTAGAATCAACCTTTTTCTTTTCCTTCTCTCCATATAAACTACCCATTAACGTAACCCTCTACCTCGAGTGGCCCCGGGCCTTGTACTGGGCCAACTTTATTGTATAAAAAAAGGATACAAAAAAGCCAGGTCAGTATAGATCTGAAACAATGTACATCCTAATAGTTAAAAATAAACACTCCCTCTCTCTCTCTCTCTCTCTCTCTCTCACACACACACACAGACACACACTCATACGCACACACACACACGCACACACACATGCATGCACGCGCGCACACACACAGTTAAAGTTTCCGAGATAAAGCATTTTACCCTCTTTTGTATAATGTTTAAATAATAAGGCAAGAGTACGCATTGTGAAGAAAACTGCTTCAGATTAACAACAGCTTGTATCACTTAAGTCAGTATAGATCTGAAACGACGTGTGTCCTATTGGTCAATTAAAAATACGCACACCGGAAGTTCCGGAGATAAAGCAAAGTCATGTATCTCATATCTAGCGAGTCTACCAAAAAGGTTTTTATATGTTTTCAGCTTCTCACAACATGGAACTGTATGTTTATTTATATATGTTTATCTAACTTTGAGAATCAGGTTGATGCTACCCGCAAATAGTCTAGCATTAAAATTCAGAATTTAGTGGTAATAGGACGATAATATATCGCACATTGAGTAATAGTGTTAAAAAATAGTGTCCACTGTAATATTACAGAGCTATGGAGTATATATTAATAAATATACATTTTTTCTCACCGGTAGCATAACTCGGAGTTTCATGCTCGACGTAATATTCAGGTAATTTTGACACAGTCCTTATATTATATGGAGATTAATGCTTTTTTTAATTTTTTTTATTTAAAATAAACGTATTTATAACAATAAAAAAACATTTCTAACTCTTTCTTTGTACTCCGACGGACAGAAGAACTAATTCAATCTGCATTATGAATTATAATAAAAAAAGGCTTAGGCTATTTTGCCTTTATATTTCTCATTCAATTTCTCTACTATTAGTAAAACAGGTATTATACCTAAAATGATTTCTTTCATAGGATGCTTGAAAAGAGTTACTGAGTAAACATGAAATAAAATCAGTAAAGTCACCCCTTTTTGGAAAATTTCACTCGTTTGTTTTTGTTTTATTATTTTTGTTGTTGCCATTGTTATTAATGTAGATGAGAATGTTATTAACATGGGTTATGATGTCATTATTAATATAGATTATGATGCTGATGTTGTTAATGATGATGTTGATGTTAAAAATTATACTGATGATGATGTCGATATTATTAAAGATGTTGTTAATAATGATGATGATGATGTCAATGTTAATAATAAATAAAATATTTATTCCAGATAATGACAATATGTTATTAGATGACTGGGAAATTCAAAACTGGGCAGAAGAATTGCCAAATTGAAAGAAATCCGAAGGCGGGATTGGCTTGGCAGTAAAAGTTTCTTTCTATTACTCTTCTGTACTGTAATACAAGTAAGCCAAAGAATTCATTAGATGACTAATATACAACAAAGCCTACATAAGAAAACTGAAAACTATTCAGGTGAATCAAAAAGATTTTTGTTTCTTTTTTTTTTAATGAGGTACAGAAAAATTTAATCCTGTTAAGTATGATAACAGTTCACGGAAATATGTGATGCAAAAATTCGAAAGCCCTTAATTTGAATGCTTCAAGAAACTAAGAATATTATTACAACAGAGGAAATCACAGAAATAAACATGCTAAACTGCTATGTAATATATTAGTGACTTCTGTTTGTTCGTTCGTCACACCTAAAATAGCCATACATTGACTGATCGAAACTATATTTTGGGGAGAAGTACAAACAGGTAAGCGGGGGGGGGGGTTACAGTTGGTTTTACTAGCGTGCGTAGTTTAGTACAATAAATTTTAATTAATTTTTTTGGAAGAATTGAAAGTTTTATCATTTAACATCCAAAATACTCCCACTGTTTTTAAAAAAAAAATAATGATTATAATAACAAATAATTATTTAATAAAAATGCAATATTGTTTTTTGAATATCTTTTCTTTGAGTTTTTATACACAAGAAATCAGTTTGCAGTTCGCCCTGCCTTTGCGAAATCTATAAGCAAATCCCAATGTTAAATGCTTGAAAATGTTAGAATTTGACTCCAGAAAGAAATATTTACGCATAGTATGTTGCATGCTCAAGAGTCAGAAATCCTAAGAATGTATTTTTCGCTATTAAAAAAGAAAAAAAAATCGTAAAAATATTGTTTATCAAGAAGTCCTGTAAAATTAAAGAAATTATTAAACTGCGAAGTAGGGTTTTGTCAAAGTATTTTTCAAATTTCATCGTTTGGTTTGCGAAATTGAACGAAGCGAAGAGTATTTAAATCCACACAAAAATGTTAACGATAACTTCAACAATATTAAACATGGAGAGGATTTCAAATAATTCTAGTATCCTATATAGCAGTGAATGGTTGACACTTTCCTCGCATATGAAGAGATCTGTGATGAGCTCCTACTGATGAATGCTAGCAAATACAATCGACAGAACATGTGAGTAATGAGGAAGTTTTAGGAAAAGCAGGGACAATAATGAAACTAATTTACTATCAGAAGGAGACAGTTTAAAGTTCTAGGACACAAAATGAAGAAAGATGACCTAGAGAATGTAATACCCACAGTGAGTAGCTTACTTAGTTTGTGTGGGTAAATGACTGAAGAGATTAAAGGATCAGAAGTTACTTCAAGAAACAAGAACTGTGGAGAGCCATGATCGCCAACATCCTAAAAGGACTTACCAACTGAAAGAAGAATGGGGAGTTGCTCTTGTATGTTTTTTACCCTTGTGTTATGCCCAATATGTGGTCTCTCTCCTGGGTATGACGATAAACTACATCCGCGTCCTGGGTAAGACGATAAGCAAGGCCTCTGATTAGGAGGTTTTGGGGAGCGTGGAACCACTTCTTAATTGCTGGTGTTCCCATGTCCACCCTGATCCAGCGTGGTAGCACCTGTTAGGGTCCCAGCTATGGACAAATAGTTAACCCCGAAACTGGGGTGAAAAGCATTATAAAAGTGTAAAAATAGGTTTTAACACCAGAAATACTTTGTAAAAAATTATTACCAGAATTTTTTAAGAAAAAAACCTATTACCAGCAATACGTTTTTTTTTAAATTACCAGCAATACATTTTTGAAAAAAAAATATTACCAGAAATAGATTTTTGACAAAACAAAATATTACCAGGAAAAAAAAACTCGTCGACCTTAAATAACACATTGAGGTTGATATACCGTAAAACAAACCAAACCAAACCGATATGCGGTCTATTTTGGTGATTCGACCTGTTCTAGTTTGAGTGTTCTTTGTTGTCTATTTAGAATTTTAAGTTATCATAATCGGCAATTGATGACGATCCCTTTTTTGTTGTTTATTTTAAGAGAGAAGTTTCCACCCTTAAAATGTTTAAGTCATTTGGGGCCGGTATGAGAAATTTTCATTTCTTTCTTGAGTTTTGTAAACATTTTCAGTTGCTTTCATGCCTAGATTAAAATGCTTCAAAATTGTCAGAATCGACAATGTCGCAAGCCTCTCGATACTCTATCGCTATTTCCATAGAAAATGTTTGGACAAACTATTTTACTCGGTACCACCAGTTCTGACATTCTCGGCTAAGACCCACTAATCTACGCACATTGTAGCAAACCACCCTCATTCCTTTCGTATTCCATTGGTGAGATGTTAGTTCCACTTGAGCAGCTTCTTTCCACGAACCGCTGCTTTGTAGAATCGACTCCCAAAAGGCTGTTTTGCTGTACACTACAATCTTAACATGTTCATGTCTACGGTCAACCATTTGACTTTTACTCATTAAAAGAAGGCGGTCTCTGCCATCTCTCTCTTAAATCTAATTTTATTCTTTCACATTTTCTTCTATAACAATTTTCCTTATAAACTTTAAATATGTATCTATTAAATCCATTTGTCATTTGACTGACGCATTTTGCATGTGACAGAATATTTCTTTTACAATGCTTTAATTTCATCGCTTTTTTATTTCAGGGTGTCCCTGAAAGAGACGGCAAAGCAGGATTTAATAGCATTGATGATTTAGTAATGGTGCTATCTTCTATCTTGTACACGTGCAGCGCATATGCACAGGCCATGCCGCTGCTAACTTCCTGCAATATTCCGAATACGCTTATCCGCCCAATTATCCATCACAGATCCGAGGAGAAGTTATCAAAGACAAGGTGATTTGATTTCATTTCTTTCTTTGTTTTTGTAATGATGTTCACTCTGTACAAGGCTCAAGAGCCACTCGAGGTAGAGGGTTGCAGAGTAAGAGTCACCACCCCAAGCAAGGTGATAATGTCACCAAGATACAAGCAGGCCACCGGATGTAAAGAATTATGAAAATACTCTAGACAGAACCGGAAACCCAATCCATAAACAAAAACAAGGGATAAAACCTATCATCATCATCATCATCATCATCATCCCTTTGACTTTTGTAATCGTTTGGGGTGGGGATCCGAATGCAGAAATGATAATAAATTTTCTCCACAACGGTAGGTTTTAGACACATCCGTTATTCAACGTGTCGTCTGGGTTTTCAATTTGCAAAAAAATTGGCATTTTTATTTATCCGCTTAATTCATATTTTCATACACAGGCCATCTAAATATGTGTAAGTCATATTTTTAATATTTAAATTTTATTTCTACAGATTTAAAGTACAATTACTCCTTCTAATAAGTAATATGACTCGCCATTTTCTTATGGCGAGTTTGTTAAGCAGTGCAAAGATGCGAGAAGCAAATTTGAAACCATTTCCTTATCAAGAAGGAATATAGTGCGGCGCAGGCTTAATCAGTGACAAACTAACAACACAACTCTGCGAGTAAAGATTTTGTTTGGTTTTCTTCAGCACTGGATGAGATCACCGATATTCAAGAACTGCACAGTTATTTATCTTTATCGGTAGAATTGATAAAAATTGCGTCATCACAGAGGAACTACTTGGTATGAAATCGATGAAAAATACAACCACTGGTTAAGACTTGTTTGAGTGTGCTGTGGATTGTGTGGAGAAAAGTACCTTGTAATGGAATAGAATGGTAAGTATTACAAGAGATGGGGCCAGAGCATTTAATGGAAAAATGTGGGTGTGATTAAACTTTTAGAGAACAAATTAAAATCAGAACACCCAGACAGTGATATCTTCATTGTATTTTGCACCAGAAAAGCCTTTGTAAAGCTGCACTGGACCTAAAACATGTGGAAGATCCTGTAGTGAGCGTGATGAACATAATCAGAGCAAGAGCGCTCAACCACCGATAGTTTACATTTCTACTTGAGGACATGGAGGCAGAGTATAGTGATGTGATTTAACACAACTGTGTTCGGTGGTTGAGCCTGGGCAAAAGTCCTAAAACGGGTTTGGGAATTACAAAATGAAATCCTCCTCTTACTGGACATAACGTTGATTTCATGTGATGCGACCAAAATGGGATGTGAGGAGTAGAGATATGAGATGATGTTTGCAGCTGATATGTTTGAGAAATTAAATGAATGTAATACAACGTTGAAGGGAAAGGAGTTGTTTGCACATAAAATGTTGAGGAATGTGAGCTCATTCAATACAAAATTTGGTCTATTTTCAAGCAGATGAAGGCGAGTTTTGTCATTTTCCTTTTTTTAGCAAAACAGAAAGTTCCCGCAAGTGTTTCTTGCAAGATTAAGATCCATTTGCTGAGTTTGAAGGATAAAGAAAGAAATGAAAGATTTCAGAACTTCAAGAAAATTGTGCCTGAATTCAATTTTTTATCTTATCCTTTCAATGTTGATATTGATACAGTACATGAGGAGGTGCAGCTTGAACTAATTGATATGCAATCAAATCACACTTTGAAAGAAATGTTTAATCCTATGACATTGATAGAATTTTACAAATCTCTATCTACTGACAAATTTCCGTGTGTGAAGAAATTTGCTGGGAAAAGGTTTTCTATTTTTGATTCCGCATATATTTGTGGGCAAAGTTTTTCTTGCATAAGAATCAAAATAGATTCTCTGTGACTGACATAAACTTGCAGGCAGTGATGAGGATCGCAACAAGCAACCTCACTCCCGATTTCAAAAGAATTGTAAAAATAGTGTGAGTGTTTACATTTCTCTCATAAAATTACTTGCGCTGGTTGATGTATAATTTGTACATAAATTTAATGAAACCTTTTCCATGTAGCATTATTGTTTGTTTTATTTATTACTAGCTTAAAAGCCGCCATATCAAGCGCCATTTAAGTTAGCTCCTGCGGAAGGTTCTTGATTAGACCGTCATCACAGTAAGTAGGAAGAAGTAGATACGATAGGCAACAATAAACTACAGAATAACTCATAATTGCATAACTGCATTTATGTAT